GAGAGGACAGATCCCGTTTGACTTGCGCTCACGGGTTTTAGAGGTTTGAAAGTGAAGATGGATTAAATTTCTAAAAAAATAAAAATAAAAATAAAAATCTGATATATCGATGTTTTAAAGTTTATTTTGGTCCTAAATTTTAAAATCACATCAGGTTTATTTTTGTCATCCTGTTTCAACCCTTTTTTTGTTACGCGATGAATTTAAATATATGGTTAAGACATTTAACTTCGATAAAAATATAGACATGTTGTATTCGATAAAAGAAAAAAAAAACTATTTTTTTAATTCAATAATGGTAGAGTTAGTAGATCCAAACATCAACTTTAAAAATGGTAATGAGTATATCTACTTTAATTATATATTGATACTCAGCTTTAAATTTATGTGGCTTGAATAGATATGTTAAATATGTCCATATGTATATTTGAAATTATGTTGGCTATTTGTGAAAAAAAAATATTTAGCTTTTTTTTAATTATTATTATTAGTTATGGAATTGTAATAAACATCTCGAAAGTTTAATGATCCGAATGGAAAAGGTTTGAAAGTTCAATAACAAAAATAGAGAACTAAATAGTTAAAATGAAATAATTGCGAATTTAGGGACCAAAATGAGATTTAACCAATCTTTTCCTTCTATCATATTTTGACATGAGAATTCGTTTAAATATGTGATGTTAATTTATTACTTATCGATTTAAATATGACTTTCGTCCTTAAATTTTAGTGATTGTTTTTTATCTTAGCTCGTGAACCGAGGTGTATTTTAGTCTTTGAATTTTTATATTGATTCAATTTTTATTTCTATACTTCAAAAATGTTCCTGTGGAGTTTAAAAATAATACCAATTGTTTAAAAAATAAATAAATAGAAAATAACCAATTTATCACTATTGTATTTTTTTAGTTAAAAAACTTTTAGTGTTCATCTTTATTTCGTTTTGTGGTTAATTGTTTAATAAATAGATATTTTATGTCATAACCTTGAATAAATATGTATTATTATATATGACATTGGTATATAGAGCTCTTCACTTAAATATTTTTTTTTTATTTTAGACGCGAGTAGCATGAGATAACATAATAAAGATCTAAACAAATTTTCATTTAAGGAAAAAAAAGGTTCATGAACTAGCATATGTTCATGGACTAAAATAAATATTTTAAATATTTTTGTTGCGAAAAAATATGCGCGCGAGCAATATGTTTCATTAATAAACAAATATTCGATACATACAAATATTCATGTATAAAATATAGAAACTAAAATAAAATGGACATATAGAAAAAATAAACCAAAATTTCTTCTAAAACTTGACCAGTGATATTAATTTTCACCGTAAACTCTCACTTTCATTCAAATACATTAGGTAGACAAATAAAATACATTATGTAGACAAATGTGGCAAATTTTACCATTCATTAAATTTTATATTATTAACCTACTAATTTTTATATATAGAAAAGGAAAAAATCTCAAGAGACTTATTAATTGAATGAAATCATAAAATTTAATTCGGTGAGTAGTTGAGTGAATTTTTTTATTAAAAAAAAACTCCAGTATCAATTTTCTCTTAAATTTTATCAGTTTTATTTTAGACATAGGTTTTAAATTTGATTGAACACACATGAAAATTCTTTTATTATCAATTATTTGAAACCCTATAAAAAATTCAAATGTTGCAACACTTTCTTAAAATTCAGTTAAGCAATATGATTAATTAAAAGTTTTTGGATAAAAATGGATACAACCTACCAAATTTAGAGAAACTTGATTTTTTTTAAATACTATTTTAATCCAAATACTTTTTAGCTTTGATTAGTCTCTATACTTCTTCTCTCATTTTCTGTTCATTCAAATCTCTATATTTTTTCAAATATACAATTTTGATCCATTTATTTTTATTTTATTTCTTTTCATTATATTTTAACATGACACTTCTGTCACTTCATTTACTAAATCTATTGAAATGTAATAACAAAACTGTATTAAAATAGTTTCTTAAAATTTATATTAAAATTTTATAAATAGAGTATAAATTGGTCATTTTTTTAAAATACGGGATCAAGACCGACATTATAAAAATAAAAAAACAAAAAGAACAAAAATTAAAAATATAAAAAAATATTTTGAAATTATTGGTATCAAAGTGAAATAAAGGTAAAAAGTAAAAACTAAAGTAGTATTTAATTTTTGTTTTCCTTTTTGTGGGAACAAAAGAAATACAAAAATCTATAGAAATTTAGGTGTGAGATAATTTTACAACGTATGAGATTTTACCTTTCTGCCGCGAATCTTGGGATTTGCTCTGCCGTAATTGGTTCGTGTAACACACGCGTGAAAAATCGCTGTGGATGCGCGTAATTTCCCATGTTGTCGGGTCAAGATCAACCCGCTTCATTTCCCTGTTTCTTCGGGAGAACTGAGGATAAAATCTAGTTCTAAATTCTAAGTACACTAATTTTAGACAAATCTAAAACCAGCGGTTCGGCACGTGGAGCGCGTGCAGTGACATCTCCCTAAAATTTCCTTCCACGTTTACTATTTTTAGAATTATTATTATTTTTTTTTCCTGCTGTGAGAACTTTCAGATATTCTCTATTGAAACTCAGATTTTAAAACTTTTCTGTCGGGTTTCATTTTTGGTTACTTTAAAATCCATTTTTTTTTAATTCGGAAATTTTCATGGATATTTGGCAACTGCAATAGAGTATTAAATTTTATTTTCTTATGTTCATTGATTCAGACATCGACAATTTTATAATATTGCATAAAAATTTGATAAACTATAAAAAATATCACTAACATAGACATATATTAATATTAATAATTTTTTAACTTAGAGAGAGTTAAACGTTTATTTGTTATAAAGTTTGTATTTTTATAATTTTTCTCAGAAATATTTATCGATATTGATGTTTTATTAATATTTCTATCAATATTTTCATATAATTGAGACGTTAACATTTTCATTAACACCAACATTTAAACTTTTGGATGTTAGATGACTATAGAAGGAAAAAAAGAGCTTACGAAAAGTGTTCATCTAAAAATAATAATATGTATTCAAAGATCAGAGTCCTCTAAAATTATTTCCAATATGTTATCTTATGTAAATAAAATAATTAAATTAATAATAGCTCAATTGGCAAGATAATTCTACAATATTGACAAAATATTATTTCCTTTAATATATTTGCAAATATTACAATTTTATATTTTATATGACGTGACATCTATTAATGTCTAGGAACTATCATCCTATATATCATTGTCTACCGCTAAAAGATCTATCACACATTTATCAATATCTATCAATGTCTTACTAATGATATTGATAAATTTATTACGTCTTTTTTAAAAAAAAAATTATGAAATTTATTATGTCCATGAATATTTTCACATGTCAAAATTTATAACTTGTGCAATATTATTTTTAAGCTAGATTACTAAATTTGCAATAATTCCTATTAAAACCTCATTTCATTGTTTAAGTTTCAAATCCTCCTTCCTACGTTTGTAACGCTATATTTTAAAATAAAATTAAAATTCTGATGTATCAAATTGTTTATGGTTGTCCACCAATCAAATTATTTAAGTTGAAACTCATTAGATAATAATAATAATAAACAGTTGTGTCTCATCATAATTCTAGACTACATGATTGCACATATTTCTCAGCACAATTAATTGACAATTTGTCGAGAAGATATAAAATAATTCAAGGTTGAAAGAAGAAGTCTTCTTTATTGTATATATAACGGATTGTATTTCTATATAAAATTCACCATATACAACTGCCACTACAAATCGACGAAAAAACATTATTCTAATAAAGATTTAAAACTATCAAATAAACTTGTCTGTAACAAAACTTAGAGTGATTTACTAGTTGCATAGCATAGAGCAAACCCGATTCAAGTAAGGTTATGAAGGGCAAAAATGTAATGAGAAGATGACCTCAACATGGGAATTTTATAAATTCACGCTTTAAGAGGGCATCAAAAACTCCTTAGACTATTCTTTAGGGGTATCTTAAAGATACTTGAGCATCTTGAAATGTCTGGGTATCCTACATTCCTGTAAAACAAGCGTGGGAATTCAGATGCTCGTATCGTGAGATTGACAAACCGACTATGAGATTTGATCCGGGGTTGACCTTTTTTTTTTTTTTTCCTTTTTTTCCTTTTTCTATGAATTGCCCGTTTACCAGCCAAGGCTGAAGCTAGTAGTGAAAAGTGAATAAAGAAGACAAAAGAAGAAAGTAAAAAAATTAACTTATTTATGGCAATACAAGGTAATAAAATTGCCATGTTTCCACTTTTCATGAACCTGGTTATTGATATTCTCAAAGTTGCAGTTCTGCCCTTCACCAGAAAACTCAATTAAGTTGATAGGTTAGCTTCTTCCAATTGCCTGTTTAGCCCTCCACTAGTTGGCCTAAATCACAAGATCAGAATAAAGGGTTATAACTAAATAGTCGTTACAGTTTTCAGTTGAATTTATTTTAATATTCATACGTGTTTGAACTAGTTTGCTTGTACTTTAATTCACAGAACAACTGTCTGACCTATAAATATCTAGCCCTTGGTATGATGTTTTAGCAACTATCGAATTTTTTTCAACACAAAAATCAACAGTGAGATTTCATTGAAACCTAGAAGTTAAAACTATGAACTTTGTTGAAAGAAGAGATTGGGGGAGATCATACCTTCATAAAAGATAAATATATTAGACTAGATACTTAAAACTTAAATATGACTTGAATAATTGAGAAACTTTTTTTTGTGTAGGCCAGAATTTTATAACTGGGTGTTGGAGGCCCGCTCTTAATGTTATGCTCATAGTTCACTCTCACTAATCCTATTCTTATATATTTTGTAAGGAACCGAGCTTTCATAGAGAAAAAATGAAAGAATTTACAAGGGGTATACAAAAAATAAGTCCAAAGAGGACTCGTCCATAAAGACCCAATCCAAAAGAATGACACCTGACTGATAATTATTAAAGGTATTAGAAACTGACACGTACGTAGAGGTATTAAATCTAACTAACTCCCAAATTTCACCCAAGAACTCTCAACTCCCTAAACATTCTACTATTCCTATCGATCCAAATACCTTACAAAATAGCAAAAAAAACAAGTCTGTCAAAACAGGCCCGATCCGTAAGGCAACGAGAATCAAGACCTTGGAGGGTATCGTTATGGCATTAATTGGCTCATAATCACTTTTCCATCACTCTCTTTTTGATCTCCTGTCTTTCACTTGTAATGCATTGCATATGTTGTTATTTAAGCTATTATTTTTCCAAAGATGAGATAAATATTTCCTAGTGCATTGGCGGAAAAATTGCAGCCAGAAGCAAAAATATCGATCACGAAGAAGGGTAAAGAAGATGATAGAAAATACACTTACAGTCCACTTAGCACTTTGATGGTGTCATAGAAGAACCATTGCAAAGTAACAGCAGGACCAACAAGTGTAATTCTGACAGGAAGACTTCTGGTAAATAGATTGCTTAATCCTATGTTTTTCACTGCCTGCAAGAGAAACAACCAGATAAAGATACCATTTAGATTGACTTCACACTTAAGCGAGAGCAAGAGCCAGAGAGAGGCTTCACACTTAAGCGAGAGCGAGAGCCAGAGAGACAGAGCCACCTGGACTACGTTTTCAGCCTTCTTATTGTAGAGAGAGGAAACAATGTTGTCTGCTGGGTTTGAGACAACAGTACCAACAGCTCCAGCTGCATATCCAGCTAAACATGTAACACCGAGCTGTTCAGTTCTCGAGCAGTCTTCCTTTCTCCGCTGAATAATGTTTTGATATATGAAGTCCACCGAATGCTCAAACGTTGAGAACATAATCATGGAGACTGTCAAAGACAATTCGCAAAGAAATATGATCAAAAGCTGGAGAATATAACAGCCTCAGTAAGACCAAGAATCACCACAGGCAAGAAAGTCACTATTTGTTTAATCAAGATGCCAATGAAAGAAAAAACAGATCATATTGACAAGTCTCCAATATTCACTTCTATAGTCGATTGAATGCAACACTGTTTTTCACCTTAAAAAATTAATATCACTCAAGTTTTGTCTAAAAGTGAAAAGGCCAAATGTCTGGATAGTTGGCACTGAACCCCCTTTTCTTATGAACTGTGGTAAAAATTAAAATATGATAATAGCTATGATCTTTTCGCATTATGGAGCAGAAAATGTAGAAGATATATGCAATACAGTCAGCAAGCAACAGAATCTAGGTAACTTGTTCTAGGTACTTTATTTGCATTTCACAAGGAATGGAATGAGAGTGTGCAGCTACAATCAGGATTTTGAATTCCAATGCATTAGCATGGCATCTCACTGTAACACGATAACTAAGTTACAAACTTTTGATGTAAAAATTAGGTTTAAATATTAATTTAATATCTGTACTTACGACTTTGGTTTGCTTTGATCCTGTATTTCTAACTTTTGTCTATTTTAGTCTCTGTACTATCAAAACGTCTATTTTGGTCTATGTACTTAAAAAGTGACCATTTTGGTCCTTCATTTTCATTTTTATCTCACTTCTTTGGATGATAATTTTAGCAAGACACTTCACTCAATAAATATCTTGGAATGCAGCAATAAATTTGTATAAAGAGTTTCCATTGTGTGTAAAATATGTGTTAAAATTTTGCAAATGGAGACCAAATCGGTCATTTCAAAGTAGGTGCCAAAATGATTTTGAAAGTATAAGGATTAAAATAAACAAAAGTTGAAAGTACGGGAATGAAAAATGAACGTTTTGTAAGTGCGGGAACCAAAATGAACCAAGTCAAAAGTACAAGTACCAAAATAGTATTCAAAAGATCTTCCAGGCACAGACAAACCAGAAAACTTCATATAACAGATATCACAACTAATAAATGAAATGAGAGAGAGATTTTACATGGAAGATTTCGTCCCCAAAGCGGAAAAAGCCCCCGGTAGAAACTGCAGTAAAAAATCGATATCGGTGAGCATAACTGAAGATGAAAAAGAAAATGAGGAATGTTGATTTTCTTTTTCTTGTTGTTGCTTACCCCGAAAGACCTTCACTGTAGTATAGCTTTGGAAAGCCATCGGCCAGACCTTTGGCATAATAGGGTTGTGTCTGGACTCTGACCTTGACAGCTTCAAAGGGACAGAGAGCAACATCAGCAAAAACTTGAGCAGAAGCACTACTGAGGAAGTATATGGAACTTCTGCTATGGCCTTCCAGCAAGTCAGAGTAGAACTTTTTAAAGTACTCATAGAGACCAAATTTGAACCCTCCTTGAACACCATATCCAAATAACTTGCCTGACCAGCCTCTCCAAAGGGATGAAGGACCTTGTTCCCTCCAAAGAATTGAAAAACCAGAGGAAATGCCATTGTACTTGATTGGATTTACCTAAGGCAGAAAACCAACTCATAAGATTGGCTTTGTTGTCAGTTATTGTTTCAACTACAAATTAATGGGGCAAACTGAGGGTCAATTACTATTTAAATCACTAAAGATAAAGAAATAATTGAGTATCCAGGACTCAACTCCTTATATTATGCTTATGGCCTACCCTACTAATCTCCAGAGGTTTCGCCATTCGCCAACCTGAGGCAACTTGCCTGAGAGAAATAAAAGAGTCTCTAGCGATAAGGAAAGTTTCTAGGAGGAAGTTTGAGACTTGGCTAAGTTCAGTTAATACCTCTCCTTGGGCTTCCATCTGATTACCTTTTACGTCTCATTCTTTGAATTGGACCCCCTTTTTGTAATTTGTTTGTCCCTTTTTTGCTTGTTTCTTGGCTCCTATTAATTTGGACTTCATTTTTCTGTATTACCCTCTTTTATTCCTTCATTTTTTCTCAATAAAAGTTTTGTTTTGCATACCCAAAAAAAAAAAAGCCAGCTTGGGAGACTACAATATTTTAAGCTATTAAATTTGGGAGGAAACCTTGGGGCATAACTGATAAGTAGTGCAAAATTTTGTTCATTTCTGTGGGAGTGATAAAACCGTAGAACATATAGAAAAAACAGCAGCCTCACTGACATTTATAGAACTTAAAAGTTCTAAGAATCTAATCCTAAAACCAAATAAAGCAATTACTATATTGGAAAAGGGTGATAAATGGCATAACAAAACGTCCTACAACATGAGCTCAACATTCCTATGCTACTTAATATTGAAAAAAGAAAGAGCCACAATCTTCATAACCTGTCAAACATTTCAACAAAACCATTATTGAATAGAGCTTTGCTCCCCTGTACTGGAGCCGCGGAGTCTCAACTGAGAGACATCAAAAGTTTTCTTATTAAGCTCACCAGAATCTTCGAACACGCGACCTCTGAACAGGTGTTACTCAGAGACCGCACGCCCTTGCCAACGGGGTTGGCCCGGGCTCGAGATTATGAGTATTATTACAACAAAAACAACAAGTTACCTGCATATTGACCTTCAAGACATCCAAAGGCGTAATAGCAAGATGGGTTGTCCCAGCACTGAGCATTCCTCCAAGCGTGCAAAGGCCATAATACCCCGCTGAAAACTCCTGGCAAAGCCTTCTCCCTTCAACCTCTCTCATCCTTCTTCGTGTTCTGGATTCTTACTTCCTCCAACCCCACATTTCTGCTCAGCAGCCTCTCTCTCTGCTTTTTCAGAGACCCTTCAATGGATTCGACTGAAATTTTTTGTTTTTGAGAAAAAACCAGCCTCCCTCTGCGTACTGAAATAAGGAAGAAGATGTTCGTTACGAAGGAAATCAGATCACCTGTGGGTACGTAAAGGGTTTTGGAAATTTTGGTCATAAAAAGACATTTCTGACTTTCTTCGTCGCTGTGAATGTGGCCACGTTTGCAGTGGGAGAATACATGGCCCAAAAACTTTGGAATGAGTTTAGGACGTGATTAAGACAACGCTCGGCAAAAATTGACCTTTCATTTTCCAACACAGGCCCCTTGAGGAACGTTTTGGGTTACTATTTACCAAGCCCAATACCATGGAACTTGAGAAGTCCCCGATGGATGTGAAGTCTTTGGGCGGCTTTTTGACTGTGGAAAAGGTTAGCTTTCCTGAAATTGAAGGGACCCCTGATGAAATCTTCTTGATTAAATTATAAAGGTTTTTATAGTACAATCAGTTCGGGCGAAGGAAGTGGAGGAATTCGAACTCATAATCTGTATATGTCAATTACCGATGAACTAAGCTCATGTTTGACAATTAAATTATAAAGTTAATAAGTTGGTAACTTTAATAATATCTTTAAATTTTAAAATAGAAAACAAAATGTGAAATGGTCATCAAACAGTGGTTGTTTATGGTGGAATTTGATCACTACAAGAACTAAGAAGATTGGATTTGAGAAGTGCAAAAGAGGACCGAGAAAGAAAAGAGCTCCAATGTTGTGGATGAACGGTTGAGAATGATTCCACGTGAGACCTCGGCTGGGCCTTTACTAAGGGCCAAGTCTAAGTAAGTTTCTAAAGTATAACTCAACGATTTTTAGTGCCACGTGGAATATCATTTTTTCCGACCAACAATTCCTAAATGAGTTAAATTTCCTTACTTGAGTCATCACTAGTAAAAAAGAACGATTTGAAGTGTTTGCTTGATAATTAATTTTGTTGGCTGGTGCGTTTGAAAGCCTGACTCAACTTTTTTTAAGTTAACCAATACAGGCGAGAGATTGAAATTTGTAACTCAAGAAACATAAGTGTATCATTCGCTAAATTGGATAGATATATGCAACCTTTATTATCAACACTTTGAGATGTTTGTACGTTTAGCATGACACATTTTCAAAGAAAAATGCCTATTGGAATTTGCAATCAGTAAGACATTGTCCTTAAAGAAGTACTAAGTACTCCTCGTTAAAACTTTTTAAGTCTTTTGAATTTAGCTAATAAACGACTTTTTTGGAGGTCGATGATTCAATCCCAGTAAAAAAAAAAAAAAACCTTTAATTGAACCCACCCAAGATTGAAACCTTAAATCGAACTTAACAAATTGAATTTTGCTAGTGGGATGAACAGCTAATTAGCTCGAAGCCTTGAAATGTTTGCTCATTAAGCGAGAATTAGTTCATCAAGCAACAATCCTCGTGGAGAAAGGGATAGCTTCTTACCAAGATTCTTCATTTTCAGGCCAATTGTTAGATCAACAACCAATAATCTCTGATGAAACGACTAACTAAACTGATACCACCCACATTTCGAGAGCCAAATTCCGATCATTCGATTAGATCAAATTTTCAGAGGAACAAAAATCAGCACAACTTCATCCCAATTTCATAAGTAACAGTCGAATCTGCTTCTGTAACAAAAAAAAAAGGCACAAAATTATTCCGCATAAACAGTGGGTTTCAGAGGTTCATTTTCACAGCGGAATCCAATTTATTAACCATTTCTCAAACGAAGCCCTAGCAACCACAAGGCAAAATTTGGAGCAGACATGAAAAACATCAGAAAGATGGTCTCACAGAACACTATTATCTAGGAGTTGAGCCAACAAGCCTTGCACCAACTCGATCGAGCCTCTTTACTAATGCCACGGCTTTCAAATTCCCCTCCTTCAGAAACGCCATAACCATCCTCTCACCGATCTCCTTCCCCCTCTCCTCGTCGTCGATCACTGCCACCGCGGTCGGCCCCGCCCCGCTTATCGTGCACCCGAATGCCCCGGCTGCAATCGCCGCCTTCTTGACCCCATCCATCCCTGGAATCATCGGGGATCGCCTTGGCTCCACAATTTTGTCCGATGACAATGCCTTGCCCAGCCCCACCAAGTCGCCTTGCAGCACCGCCGCCACCAACGCCCCGGCTTGGCTGCAGTTCCATACATGGTGCGGCATCCCAACTTCAGCCGGCAATGCAGCGCGCATTTTCTTGGTCGGCGCTTCGAATTCCGGGCTCACCAATACGAAGAACAGCTCCTTCTCGACGGGGAACTTCAGGCGGATCAGTTCCAAGGGTTCGTAATTCCGGATCAGAATGAAACCCCCCATGATCGCTGGTGCGACATTGTCCGCATGGTATCCAGAAACCTTTTCTTCTGATTTCAGCCCCGCGAGTACCAATTCCTCGACTCCTAATTTTCCGCCGAACAATCCATTAACAGCAATCGCCGCAGCGGCTGCGCTCGCCGCGCTAGATCCCAATCCGCTCCCCAACGGCAAACCCTTCTCGAGCGACAGAGATAGACCGACAGATCGGATCCCTAGCATTTTCATGACCTCGATAGCGGCAATGCCCGCGCAATTGTACAAAGGGTTTTTACTAAGCTTATTCGTGTTATTGCCAGAAATATTGGTGATTGCGACCTCACCAGGATGAACATTGGAATCAACGCTGAGGGAGACGAAATCGCCGAGTCCATCGACAGCGCAGCCGAGGAAATCGAAGCCAGGGCCTAAATTAGCGACGGTTGCAGGTGCGAATGCTTTGACAGAGGAGAATACAGGTTCAGGTTCGACCGTAGTGACGGCGGTCCTGGATGGTAGAGACAAATTGCACCTGAAGAGGACAGATTTAGGGTTAGATAGAGAAACTGGAGGAACCGCCACCGGCTTCAATGTTGGCTGAAAGCAGATCGCCATGGAAGCAACTGAAAGAGAGAAGGAGATCGAGCTCGAAACCTGAAAATTCCTCAGAGATGAAGATTTAGCTTCAGAGACTCAGCGCAGTCACAGCAAAGAGTGGACCTCAGAAATGAGCGAAGAACGAGACCCTGAAGCAGGGATTTATATATAGGAGAAACTAAATTACCGTTTCAGGCGGGTTTCCGGAAGAGCGACGTGGAGGAAGGCTTTGAAATGACGGGCATTTTGGTCATTTGACTCTGCACAGAATGGCAATTTATTGGCATTTACAATCTTTTTTTTCCTTGCAGTAACAATAATATTTTTTTTAGTACAAGGCAAACAAGTTTAACTATGCTCATCTGGATCCTTTAAATTAGCACATTCATGTGTATATTTATGTAATAATATATGAATTGACATATTTCAAGTGTAATTACATATAAAGAAAATGCCTTTTGTCATACAGACACGAGATTCTCATTCAACCAAGAGAAAAAAGAATTGTTACGACAACAGCGCATCTTCAAGCCACGATTTCACAGAAATCAAATTTCTAAACCCTAATCCTCTCCACGTTTGCTGGAGAACGAATTCTCGCGTTTCCTCTTCGAACTGCTCGTCTTTAGATCTTTCCTTTGATCGGCAAACGACAAAAATTGACGCAGACAACCGCCACCGGCTGAAGCATCATCATCTTGATCTCCTCGTTTCAAATGGCGATTGAATTGGCACATCGTGAAGCAAAAGTGAAACAAGAGAGCGAGTATACATACGGCGGCGCAAATGACGAATAATCCAATGAAGCTTTGCAAGTGAAGTTGTTCCAAATCGGAATCTCCAGAACTGCAAGACTTTCTGGAGAACCACTCGTCGTGAATCTTCTGAAGACTGCCGTTCTCGGAGAGAGCGAGTATGGCAGTCGACAAGTCGGCCGCCAATGGAGAGTCTCGGGGAAATGCCTAACAAACAAAATTGCAGAAAATTGATTAATTCGAGGGTATCATTGCATTTTATTTTAAAAACTTCCGATTTTGTGAATTTTGTGTATAATAGTTTACATTTGTGTGGATTAGAATAATCAAATTCAATTATATATCTAATAAATCGGTGGATTTTAAAAATTAAATACAAATTTGAAAGCCAAAGCGAGCATAACTCAGAATTCGATCTCACGCCCCCACATGTTGTACTAGAAAAAAAATGAAATACAAATTTGAAAGCTCGTATTAGACATAAATTGAAATGGAGAGTTCCTTAAATAACATGTTAAAAAGATGTTAATCTACTTTAAGAAAAGGTTAATCGATTAAGAAATTGAGTCTATATATGTTATGTGTTTGTTTATCTCAAATTACGGATTTTTTTTTTCGAGAGGGATAGAAATCTAGATTACATAAATCTAACCTTAAATAATCTACTTTTTTTTATATTCTCGTACAAACTTTATGGAATATAAACCAACAAACGAGACAGCTTACACAAAACTGATATTTATAACATTGTTTCTAATGCAATCTAAATATATGTTACACAACCTTAAATATTACCGTCTTATGAAAAAAATTTAGATGGTGAGAACCTCATCACCTATCTTGCGGTTGACTACTACTAAAAATTTCGACGGCTCATCATTTTGCTTGAAAAGTATAAAAAGAAAATCTCTATTTTTGAACTTTCTCCTATATAAGATAGATACTGACCTGTCAACGTCTAAGTATTATTATAGATTTATAACATATCTAATCTAGGAAGGCAAGAAAACTTGGAAGTTATGTGTAGAGATACTTACAAATCCCCATCCACTTTTTGTGAACGGTTGGCCTCTTATCGAAAAATCGCAATACTCGGTGAGAAAGAGATCGATGTATGGCTGTTCATCGACAATAGCCACAACCGTTCTGTTCCCGAGGGCAGCAGCATACTCTTCCGGGGATCTGAGGGCAATGAGCCGAGATTTTTGGATGTTAAGTTGCTCACTTAAGTAACTTTCAGCAAATGAACCAACTTGGAATCCTATAGGTTCATTGCTAGTTATCAATGAATCAATTCCTGTGATAGGTGAGGCTAGCTGTTGTACTGTGAATATCGACGTCAGACTAGCGGTGTAGCTCGAGTTGATTATTAGAACCACGAAAAGCCACACGAGAAGCACGAAACGACCGAGCGTGCTCACGACATTCTCTCCTGAAAAAACGAGAATATTCAGAACTTGTAGTGCTCTTGCTGAGGCTATGATAAAGTCCTTGACAGTAAGGTAACAAGATAAAAGACTTACTTTGTGCAAAAAACATAGTAGAGAAGCCAAACCTGCATGCCAAGATAAGAAATACTAAGATGAGGATGGATACCAAGATCGAGATGATATTCAAACGCACTCGTGCGATTCTTTAACTCGAACGATAACTAGAATCGAGTTAGATGCGAAATGTAAATGTTTGCTATTTAGTCACAATGCTAGTTTAAGACAAGGTACAGAGGAGACAGTAACAAAACACTATTTCTCAAGTATTATTGTGTTGCATTTGAAAACACAATGCAACTGAGTTCATCTTTGGAACCAAGTTCCTTTTTTTCCAAACTGATCCCTTTTTACGTATTGGATCGGTTTACCTTCGTCGCTACTCGAACAAACATAAGAACAGCAAGGAAAATTTCCTTAGAATGTCTCTTGGTTGTGAAGGATGGCAGAAAAAGCCTGCTGAAGTTGGAGCATTCATATGACACAAAAGTGGTGAACACATAGAACTGTATTTTTTTTGTTCGGAACTACGTTTCTCGAACACTTTACTTTAGTCGATGTTACTCGTAGAGCTAACGACTGTCCTTTCCACGTGAGATCATTTGTATACATGTATCATGACAGACATATATCAGTGCAATAACTATTCTTTGTTAAGATCAAGAACTCACCAGAGGATTGTGACAAATTGTGTCCTAGGATGTCCTCGAAACTCGTCGTTTTTTCGACGTTCCAGAATCCACACAACTAATCCTATGAGGAGGAAAAAGAGTGCTGTGACAATCCACATCATCGGGGAGAACGGGCGAAGGAATGCCAAAGGACTGAAGTTAATTTTCTTGACCGGGGCTAGAACTACTAGCCCCGAGTCAATATAAGGCTGCGTAAAATCAACGATCTTTGTCCGAGTAGTCACAATTGCAATGTCACCAACAGCAGCATCAAATTCCTACAAAAGCAAAATCTCAATTCAGTAGAATCTGCATTCTTACCATTACAAAAGAATAAGCCAAAAAGCTTCATAAAAAGTATACTCACTTTCAATGCAACTTTATTTACAAGCTCAAAGTAACTAGGATTCTTCTCACCATCTCCAAACAAAATGAACTCGTAATTTACAGCATATGGAAGCAATTTGATGGCAGCATTGAACACATCAATGCAGTATCCTTTGACCGTGTCATTACCATTTCCTGGAGTCACAAAGTTCTGATAACTAACTCTACGCGGAACACCAATTCTTAACCGCCTTCCATCGAGCGGAATAACCCAGCCACGAGGCTTTATCGTCGATCCCCCAGGCCACACCGTGCTGCTTAGCTCTTGGGTCGACGTAGAACGGTTGGCTGGCTTGTCATACAATGTTTCAGGTGGCACGACCGATAACCCGGAGTAACTTGACCAGTATCCAATTCTCTTCATACCAGATTTCACAACATTTAAGATTTCATATGAAGGATGTAAAGGGGATCTATCTACAAATTGAATAGGCCCTGTTAGACCAGTCATGCTGATATTCAATAAATTGTAAAGCAGCTGCTTTCCTTCATTAAAGATGCCTAGTGAACTAAAATCCAAGCTCTCTCCTTTGACGTTACTAATATGTGTATCTTTGGAGAATGAGATGGTGCCATTTTGATCAAGTAACTCTTTTACTCCTCTTGCAATCATCCAAACAGTATCATAAGCATATAATCCATAAATATTCAACCCAATTGAGCCATTACTCAGCTTGTTCCAACTAGATATAAAAGACTGCTTCTTTTTCGAGTCGGGCGTGTGCAGACGAAGCGTAAGGACTCCTTGGATGGAGTTGAAAGTTTCTGAAGGAAGTGGTGAAAGAGTATCTATAACTGTTGACAGCAAAGTAGAAGCTATCCAAACATATCCAGTTTCCATCATTCCAAGGCTTTGGGCCACTTCAAAAACCACGAAACCTGTTTTCGTAAACGTGTATAATACGATTACTCGAGATTCCATCATTTTGATCTTCATCAGTTCATTTTGGACTAGAGTTCTAGTTGCTGCTGGGTGAGGGGGAAGTGCCACTTTTAAGGAAATCTTCAAGCCTTTCTCTTCAAGTTTATCCCCTAATGTGATCATACCGTTTCGGCATAGATCGTCATCGGTGAAAACAACGACCATGTCGTGCCAACCGTAATAACTAATCATGTCTGCAATTGCAGTCATTTGGAATTGATCATTTGGTGCCGTTTGAATGAAGTATGGATACTGCAAAGTTGAAAGGGTTGGGTCCAATGCTGTAAATGACAGTGATGGAACATGGAGTTCATTTGAAAGATGTGAAAGTATATGTGCCATTGTAGCGTCTTGTGGACCAACGATCGCGACCGTGTCTGAGGCCATGAACTTTATTGCTATGATCAACAAAGAGAGGAAAAATTACTGCTATTATATCAACAAGAGAACAAACAAGGAGAATGTGATGCACCAAATGAACCTCTAGAGATTACTAAACCATAATGATAATAATTCAGGCCGCGTTTAATAATGATTTCATTTTTAGTTTACTATTTTTTGAAAGTTATGCTTACTTCACAATTTTTTCAGTACGTTTTTCACCTTTCTTAACCACACATTTGACTTCTTAGCCAAATTTCATTAAAAAAACAAGTTTTTAGAAAGTTTTTTCAAACTTTTGGCTTAGATTTTGAAATGTTTTTAAGAAAAAATAACAAAGCAAAGAAACATATATATAGCTTTGATAGCGATTTCATTTTTAGTTTTCTGTTTCTTAGAAATTATGCTTGATGGCTTCTTTAAAACACATTTGACTTCTTAGCCAAATTTAAAAAACAAAAAGCAAGTTCTTCAACAACTACTTTTTTTAGTTTTCAAAACATGGTTTAGATTTTGAAAGCACTTTTAAAAAGAAGATAACAAAACAAAAAAAACATAGGTGGAAGTAGTGTTTATAAGCTCGATTTTCAAAAACTGAAAACCAAAAACAAAATGGTTATCCAATGAGGCTAAGTTCGTAGACAAGAGAATACCTCCTGTGATTCCAAGAAATCCACTGTTATTTGAATCAAGTATGGATATGGACAGCTTTCTCCCACCAAGAACACTTGGATCAGAATTCACATCTTTCTCAGCAGCCTCTATGGCAATCTTGGACACTTTCCCAGTGATGGAACTTAGTGAAAGTATAGCTCCAACGTTCACTACATCAGGTTTTGAGGCCCCTTCTGCAATCCCTTGAACATAGAGGAGTAATAAAAGGAGCCAAACCATGATAAAGATGAAGCTCAAAGTTAAGCTTTCTGTTACAAAATATCAGAGAACTGAATCTGTATGGGACCAGGACGACGAGTTCGACCGAAATTAATCAACAAAGTATAGCATTCTACTGCTTATCAGAAGAAACAGAAGAAGGACCACATGATATTTGAACATAGTAGAACAGCAAGCAGCAACAGAACCCAAAAAGAAAGGGAAAAAAAAATCAACAGAAATAACAGTATAAGCTTTGAGCTTACAAAACTGCACTCAAATTGTTGGTTAGTATTTGAGTAAGAACCAGAGTTATAAAACAGTACTAGAATTTCAGAATAACCAAACACCAAGTTTTCAGACAGCAACAGAACAAAACATTTTCTGATAATTTAATATTCGAAGTTAGACTAGAATACCTTGTTTTCAAGCTCAGAAAACATAAATGAAAAGAATTCCAAAACTTAGTGTGAAGTTAACGTTCCCCAAAAAAATGAAAATACAAGAAGAAGTAGCCAAGAATGCACCAATAACCTCAGGTTCTAAGGAATAAGGTTAAGGGCTAAAAGAAACAAGAGTGTCAGATAATGATGCTATTAGGCAGAACGCAGAAGAAAGAATAATAAGGGCTTTAAAAGCAGATAAAATGAAACAATGTATAATAACAAAGATGCATATATTGTGCCACGTAGCACTCGTGGCAAAGACCTGAGATCTTCCGGGATACGCTCAAAAGTTTGAACTCAACCTGCATGTTATTTAACATGAACTCAACCTGTATGTATTTTAACTAGTTGAACTATACTTACGTCTCCAAGAGAGTCTTGAAAAGTGACGCCTCTCCATTGAAAAATAAATAAATAAATAGCCCAGTTAAAAAAGGACAAGAAGCATATAGAAAAGAGGCTAAAAAGTAGTTGGAAGCAGGGAGCTTAAAGGAGAAGGGAAGTGGGCACTGGGGCTTTGTGGTGGTGCTTTCCAATACAATATTGTGCCATAATCTGTGAGAATACTTCAAAATAGAGAAAACAGAACAACTTGGAAAGTTGGGATTCCACTAACCGTAGTGGGAAATTTCTTGCTAAATGCTATTGCCATATCCAATCCATAGCTCACCATCTTGGGCTTGTAAAGTCAACTCCACTGTGGTAATGGTGGCCTGCGAAACCTGGGATTTTTCCCTTTGGTGGTGGGAAATTGGGGATGGGATATTCTGAGAGAAACATTCCCATTTTCTGTCATTTCTCTTTGAAGGGAAACAATGACTTGAACACTTAACAGAGCTTTCCAAGGACAACAATGGGATATGGGAAGGAAAATACTTGCCACTTAGGAATCTTCTTTTTTAAAAATTAATTTGGGGTCTGATTTTTCAATTATTGGAGAATGTTTGCCAATATTGGGAATCTCTCTTCTCCTTCATCGTTTCCATAGGCAATGTTGGAATATAATTTGAAAAAGTATGCTAGATTTTTTTTTTCTTGGAAATTCACTTGGCGTTGGCGTGTGAATTTGTGTTGGATTCACGCACCCACCTCTTCGTATTAAATAAATTATGTATCGTAAAAAATTACATTTAATCAATAGAATACGATAAGAAGATGACATAAAAAATTCCAGTACACAAGTATATATATGTTCTTGATGGAGATCTCTTTTTATATTATAAAAACAGAAAATTTAATCATTTCAAGGCACTTTCCCTCGGAAACAATAATCATTTCTAACTTCCAATAAGAAGTCTCGAATAGAAAATGATCCCATTGCTAATGTTAGAAAATGAAATAATCGAGCATCTTAAATAACTTGCCAAACCGTTAAAGTAGTGGTAAATTTCGCGAATAAAATGGATCTTATAAAAGTTCAAAAATATATATATATATGTATATGTATATATTTCCATTTAGCATAGAGAATAAAACACAAAAGGAAAAGGAAGGAACCTCCGCATGTCACATGTGGGCATATGATGTATGAAGGTTCTTTCTTTTCATGGGTGAAAGAAGCTCCCTTTTCCAAGCAATGAGTTTTTTTTTTCCTTTTTTTTTGTGACATATAAATAACACTGTCAATTAGGATCCAATATATCATTAAAACAACACAAATTAACCAGTCTTACAAACTACATTTCTAGAGCAATTAACCAAAAAGTAAGATATTGACACGGGACATAGACGCATTAATTAGTCTGGATCCTTACCTACAAATATTAATAGAGCTATATGAGTTGGATAAATATCAAGGTGGGGAATTGAACCTACGACTTTAAAAAATGCAATATGCGTCTTATCCCCAAATTTGTGTTCGAGTTGACGAAATAATAGATTTAAATAATATTGGATTTATAAGAAATGCAAAAAAAGTTTCACATTAACTACAGAATGAGAATATCATAGGTTTGTATGTGAGAGAAAATATCTCTATTGTGACAAARACGTTTTAAATTAAACAAAAAATAAAGTCGTGAATGTTATGTTCAAAATAGACAATATCGATATCATATGATGTGAAGGTAAACAAATAAATTTTTTTTAGTACAACATGTGGGGATAGGGGATCGAACTCACAACTTCATGATTGGAGGTATATGCCAATTACGGTTTAACTATGCTCACTTGGGTCCTTAACAAATAAAATTATAATTACTTTTTTTTTTTAGATTTTAGAAACCAAATTCATCCGCCATAATACACACTTTAACAAAAATGAGACAATAACAATGTTTCATCATTTGAGAAAATAATATGGGTTTTCGATAAAAAAAAAAAGGAAAAAAGAAAAAGAAAAAGAAACCGAATATTGGTGGTGAGATTTGAGAACGTGTTTATTTGGTTGCCGAACATATCGAAACAAATCCCGGCCCTCTTGCCAACCCAAACATGAACCACTACGAGCATCAAATAATCACATTTACTCACAAGGGAATAGTTCACGTATTTTCCACGTCCACGTAATTTTAAGATATCTATTTTATTTTAGTTATTTTTAGAATGTTTATTTTAATTTCTATACACGTAATAATCAAATTAACTATTTTTTTGATTTTATAAATACAAACCGTAAATAAAAATTGTGAAAGCGAGCATAGCTCCCCATTCAGTCTCGTCTTCAAACTAGTAGGATTATTGAGTCGGTAACCGTTGCCACTCTCACCCATACAAAAATTAAATGACGATTGCTTAGAGTTAGGAGTCCATAACTCGCTCAGAATTAATATCGAGTTATCTAGTCACCATATGAAAATATTAATCTATTAGTGGCTGTAGTTGGAAACCGATGTTAGTGAGTGGAAAACCTCATGGCTAGTAGTTAGTCCACGTATCTTCTTGATGTAAAATTTGGAATCAAAACGACCCCAAAATCGAACAACTCAACTTCCAATATTGGGTTTAAGGACATTTCATATTTCCGTGAAAAGTTACCTAATATTTGGCACCGATCACAACTTTGAGCAAATATGTCTGCATCTCCAACTTAAAAGATTACGAGTTCGATTCCACCATGGACTAAAAAAATAAAACGTAAACTGTTCGGCGCCGACCAGGGCTCGACCCGTTGGTCGAGCCCACTCTCTCCTCTCCCGTTGATTGAGGTGCCCGAAGACAAGACTCCTATAAATAGAACCATTGGCTGAACTCGGGTGTACATTTGACGAGAACCGAAGATGTCAAATTTCCAACATCAACATAAACAATCTCCACTTATAAATACAGGGATAAAAAATATTTTAACTTTATTTATTTAATGTCAAATTGTTATTTGGAACGGAAATTTCTTTTTAATATCGAGATTAAAAAGAACTGTTTCACATGGTCGGTAACTTCAAATTCAGCCGTTGGAGACCCAATCTTGCAACCAAGCCACAGAGCCAACCGCACCGCCATTTCTCACTCTTTGCCGCCGCAGCCCTCGCCGGCCGACAAGACGACGATACTTCTTCAATCCACCTTGCCCCGCCGTGCCGTCAGTCAGTCGCCGACGCCATCTCTCGCTCCTCGCCGCCGTAACCTCGCCGGCGAACGCCACCTTCGCAGATCTGTCTTGCTTTACCGCCGCCATAGAAGAAGAAGACCGCAACACTACATAGAAGAAAGAGGAAAATCAACGAACCGAACCGATTCGGTTTATAAACAAGTTTCGGTTCGGGTGTGAAAGATTGGTTTGTCGATTTTGCAGAAACCGAACCGAACCGACAGGGTATCATTTTTTTGGCGCCTAGCAAAAACCCCAATTTTAAACCCTGATCCACAGCCGTTCTTTTTTGTGCTTGAGGGATCGATTTGGAGAGAGTACTCTGAAATTCCAATCTATGGAGGCCATGGTGAAAAAGTATCAGCAGAGATTCAGAAAGTTTAAGGACGAAATGGATCGCTGGGACGAGCTCCAAGTTTGCTTAATTTCGCTGTTCAGAAACGCTTCCTTCATCATCGGGAGGTTGCAGGTCAGTCTTAGTTCTTATTTAGCTATACGTATAAATATTTTTTTTCAATTGTAAATTCAGTACTAGAATCTTCAAAAAGTTGATTGTCAGATGCTTCAAGACTCTAAGAATTATGGCAGTCTGTCCGGCATAGATGGCATTGTAGACGCGCTATTGGCGAAGCAGATGGAATCCTTGCAACTTAATTTCTCGTCTATTGAAAAAACAATGTAAGTTTGTGTTCGTTTCGGTTTCTTTTCTTGCTTCTTCTGCGTGTGGTTGGTAGGATATGCTAGAAAACGAATCGGATAAAATTAGAATGTACAACTCCGTATTTGTCCGAGTTGTTATTCGATCCGATTTTTGTAGTAGATGCAGGCCAGCAGTTATTGGTAGGCCGACAATTGCTTTCTAAAAAGTCGAATGCTTAGGTTATGGCGACTGTTTCCAAGGCGGTTTCTTCTTTTTCAGATTAAAAATCGAGCGTATATCTATTTAGTAACTCTTCCTTTTGTACTTTTTCTTGTTTTACTTGAGTGTATTTTCGAGTAAAGTAGTTTCTGGGTTTGTAGATAATTGATTTGTGCAGAATAATAGTAACTTTGATCATTCAACATAGTTCGTATAAATAATATTGGAAACGAAAATATAAGATGGTCTTGGAAACAGTCCAAAGGATCCCTTAAAATTCTTCTGCTATCTAGTTTTCATCAACGAAGAATCTGAACAAATATCTCAGGGAAGAACTTGGGAATGTTGTCCGATCGATGGAGAAGATTTATCGTGATGGGAAGCAATTAGTCAAAGGTGGTTCCAATCAGCCATCAATAAAACAACTACAGCAAAGAGTTGGTTTAAAACCCAGTATTGAAGATTGCTTGAATGGGTTAATGCTTCTATGCGACATGCACCGCACTGAGTAAGAATTTATCTGATCTCGTTTTATGTGATGAAATCAAGTTTGTCAAAAAGATGTGTATTCCACAGAGAAGATAATTAGTCACTTCAAAGTATTTAGTCCATATTGTTGAACATTGATCTAACTTGAGTTACTGAGGACATTTTCCTTGTTTCACTTTAATGAACTTGTATTTGTTCCAAACACCTGGATTTATCTGCTTCTGCTTCCTCAATCTGATGGAAGCGCCTTAATCATGGGGACAATGATATTTTTCTTGTCTAAGCAGTATAGATCAGAAACTGATTGTGTTAGCAGAAAATCAACTACATATGAAAGTCAGATTTATATCAATTATGTTGGCTTCTTTATTTGTTGTTCCCTTTTCTAAAAAAATACGTGATATTTTTATTGATTTCTTAATTATATATTCTGATCGAAGCTTATGTTATGATACCTACATTTATGCTGTACATGCACGGACTGTATTATTTGCCCAACTTGTAATTTTTGTATTTCACTGTTTTTTTCCAATAGATTAACTTTATCATCCCATTTGCCAAGTTCTTGAGTGAATGTGTTGATCGGCTTTTAATGGACCTGTTTCAATTTCTTTAGGTACCATCTTAAAGAATCTGTGGTCTCAGCACTTCCCAAACTTTTCTGGAAAGCCAGGTAACTTTTTTCACCTCAGTAATTTCATATCTTAAAATGATTAGGTGGGATGAAACTTCTAATTGTAATTAAAGCACCAACGAAATTGTTCATGTCAAGAAACACTTGTTTTGGAACTTCAATTTCCTTTGATATTTGTATATGCAATATCCTTTTCTCACAATGCGCTGAATGACTTCATACATTATTATTTTTTCGTTTTCTCATCTTATACGTTCCCCCCTTATTATGTTATTACTATGGTCATTTGTTCCCCTCTGAAAAATATTTGCTCTTCTTTAATTGTTAGTAATCACAGTGCCCAAGATCTCAGTTCCTTGCAGCAACTTTTGATAGATCAGCCTAACATCCAGAAAGAGGAAGGTTAGTGATGAATAATTTTTTCAGCACTTTTATTGATGAATGTGTAATTATTAAGTCGAGAAGTATCAAATTATGGAATCAAAAGAACCACGTTTTCAAATGGGTTTTAGCAAATGTTGTTGTCCCCAAGAAAATGTCAACCTTCCATTCAATTCTAGGTCCAAAGTTTGCTTTTACTTCCATTATCTAATGGCTTGTTGTGTCATGGACCATTTTTTTGGCTTTTCCCAACTTATTATGAAGCACTATCTTGAAGTAGTTGTGTGGTCCTGGCTTTCAAGTGTCCATTTGCCATTGCAGAGGCAAATCTTGCCTTTTCCCTTATCTATGGACTATGGTGTCTTTTGTTGGATTTGAAATCTCATGTTCCGTACTTTCTTCAGTTTTATTGTTCTGCACTTTCCCTTCAATATACGACAAGTAGCGCTTTCAACTTGGCTCTTTCTCTTGAGGTTGAAGGTTCAAATCCCTGTACCCCAATTTGTTGTACTAAAACAAAACAAGAACATTGAAGAGGATAAGTAACAATATTTTAGTCTACATAGTGTATTGATTTTGTCGTGGTATTTTCACATTACAAATTGACTTAATTCTCGTTCCTCTTTTATTGCAGTTGAATTCGTCTTTGATACCATACTGGTCGTGGAAGCCTAGCTAATCAAACAATTCAAGAACGTTTGATTGTATATATATGCTTTCTTCTGCAGGCAGCTAGTGATCAACCATCATGAAGAATTGAAGAGTAGAGTTTCTAGAATGATTATGGGTTTGCCTCTTGGTGACCATAAAGGACCAAGTCATGATGGTCATCTATTTAGGATTTAATATCTTACGAGTGGCAATCAAATATAGTAGAATTCCTCTCTCTCCACTGTTGTAGGTTATTTTATTTTAGCTTTAGAGTAGAAGTAAAAGAATAAGGGAGAGAAAAAAAAGACTCGGACAAGGGAGAAACAAGGATTTTTTTTTTTTTGGACGGGGTCTTTTTAGTATTTGGAGAGTTTAGAATTAGAAATGTGAAGTTTTTTTTTGTTTTGTTTTTGTTTTTTGTTTTAATAGAGATTATGCATTTGGATTTGAGTGGGTAACGAATTTCTCAAATGCAAGGGGCGTTATTGTACGTGCGATTGAAAATTGACTCGGCTTTTGTCCATCATTCCCATCTGGTGCCGTAAGAATAGATAAAAGATCAAATATTGCCAAATAGATGGCCAAATTGAAGTAGAATTTTTTAACAATACGAATTTGATCTAAATCATGATATCATTATTATTATCAATTTTTGAGGCTCAGATTTGAATTAATCTTTCCAGGTTTAAATTATATTTTGATCTTAAGCTTTTGTTCTTATCATGATATAAATGACGTACATGTTAATTTTTTAGAATGATATAAATCTGAATATTTTATTTTTTCTTTATCAAACTGAATCTATTAGACTATGGTAGGTTGAATTTTTTTTTTATTGCTGTCGTATATTTCAATAATAATTTCTAAAATAAAATAGTTTAGAAAACATTCGGCACAAAGTTATGTGATTGACAAATGATTTTTGACATGATAAAATTATTTAACTTATGGTTCATGATTTATTAGACAATTTTTTTTATTAACTTGCAAACTTATTTAAAACAATTTATTGTCTAATACTTACACAAATTTTATTAAAATATTAGATAGATTAGAAATCTAGTAGACTAATTAAAAGTTTTAAACTTGAAAGTTAACAAAGCATTTAATTTACGATTATTTTTTTTTTTAAATCTCCATTACTCTAATAATACCAATACATAATTTCAAATAATTATTTATCCAGACACCTATTTATCAAGCAAATGAACGAAATAGACTTGCGTTCAGTTTTTTTTTAATCAAATAATGTATAAAGAATTAATGAGAAACTAAAGATAAATTTTGGGCCAAATTCAAGACAGACAGAATTAAAATCTCTACAAGTTCCAACATTGCACCATATCTAAACTAATTATACCAATACCTAGCTCATGATCCAATCAATTATTGACTGAAGTTGAATTCACTAATTATATTTAACGATACAATTTCAATCAAAGTAGCATACCGTAGCAAACTACTTCAGAAGTTGTATTAGAGAGGCGCCAATGAAATTTAGCTAATGATGGATGATCAATGGATTGCCTGAATAAATACAGCAAAAATTGTACTAAAAAATAGAGTTAAAAGGAGAAAAAAGACAGCTTAAATTTCACTTTTTGGTAATTCAGTTAGGCCACGTACATGGGAAAGATGCAAACGACACCTACCTCTCTGGAGGCGATAATCCAGGGACCTGGCATTTGTGATATAGATGACATAAAAAATTTTGATGCTCTTACCGTAATTCAATGCTTCCTGGAATGCAGTCCCTTGATAAAATATAGAAAATACAGTCACAATGTGTACGCGACGGGTTTAAGGTGGCTGATGTGAAGGAGCTGGAGAAACCTGGGTTACGAGCTTTCTATGCGCTGTCTTTTCGCCGAAAGATGATCACTATCATCAATATTATTCTCGCTGTGTTTGTGATCGAAACTCCAGCCAGTGAAATCGGACTCCGAGAACAAGGTGGTGGGGATTGCTTGGTAGAATGCCAGAGGGACTCGTTTCATTTTCTTTTTCAACTGCAATCAAAGACACCATTCAAGAGTAATGATAAATAAAATTGGATCCGTTGTATTTGTAGGGAAGTCACTATAGAACAACGGGATTAGGCCTGAAAATAATTCTTTTCCTCCGTTCCAAGGTATCAAGCAGAATTGTTTATTAAAATTAATTGACAAAACGATGACACTTACCTCTTGCCCGAGTATTGTAGCGTATGAACCAGCAACAAAATCTTTAACATCAATTTCAGTTGTTTTCGATCTCACGGTCAGATCATTCTCCAGCGACAAAACTAGCCTACAAGAACATAAAGATTAGTTTTCAGCACATGATCCAATCTAATAAAAGTTGGAGGATCAATATTAGACCGCATACCTTGATACGGGAGGACAATAGTGATGTCGAAGACTATCGATTTCCCAAAGTGAACTTCCTGTTACAATAATTATTGTTAATAAAGGTAAATATTAGATCACAAAATTAAAAATTAAAAAATTCACACCACCACATGTACCAAAAGAAAAAAAAAAAGATCGCCAGTAGCATATCTTGGCATGGATATTTAAAAAGGCATGGCCCCATGATATTCATCAGCAAACCGGGATTGTAAAAGAGATAATCACATGCCACGCAATTAACTGCATTTTCAGTCATTAAATATGACAAGACTTCAAATGAATTAAAAGAACTTGTGTAATCCGTTCAAATGAATTACAAGCAACTCTTGACAAGTTATGGCAATGTTAATGGTTCGTCACCACAGTAATATATCCACCTGTCTAATTTTGCCCCCGAGATTAGAGTGAAAATACCACCAATCTACGAACTCAAGAAAAAAAAAAGGACCAATCTAGCACCCCTAAGACTGGAGTATTCTCTCCTATTCATAAACAAAAAGATTCCAGAAAGGTAAACAGTAATTCATTTATTCTAACACAATACGCATCCTCCAAGGGATGGTTGAAGCTGAGAACCTGAAATTTAAGTGAAGAGTAGGTTAAAGAAAGACGACACGTACTCAAGGCACTAGATTTAATAGGATCAGTTTCCTCGTAGTTAAAATGATCGATCCCTGGCTTCCTGTTGGGTGCATCTGCATCAACACCAGAAGCATCCGTGCCTCTAGCAACCTCTTCATCTGTTGATTCATCTTTCTTACTCTCGTTAATATTTTCCTGTCCACATAATACAAACATTTTATCCAAAAGAATACAGGAAAAGTTGATGCAGGTTGTAGAATCTATCTACAACAAGAAGATCAAAAAATGAACTCACTTCAATCAAAGCCAATATCCTTGAGTCAAGGACAGTTCTCAAATAGACATCCAAATCCACCCATCGTTTCAGGTTAAGGTAATTAATTATTACGGGCAATGGCTAACTTTTGATAGATGCCTTGCAGACCACCTATTTTCGGGGAATCAGAAAGATTTGAATAGTATTTGATGTCACGTCAGTTGTGAGAAACAAGAATGAGGAGCTTGGAATAGGATTGCTGGAAAGCAGATGTCTGTTTTGGAGAGTATACCAACGGGTTTTGAATGACTAGGAATGGAGAGCATAGTGCTTGTTTTATGGGAGTAGGATTTGTAAAATGTTATTTAATAATATTTTATTATTTACTATTAAAAATGTAATTATGTTTTTTTACAAGTTAACTAATATACTTATTAGCTTTTAATTAATTAATGCAATAACTTGGTAAACGTGAGGAAGACTGCCCTCAAAGTGTGCTGAATTAGGATGGCAATGGCACAAAAATCGCCAAATCTGATGGGTTTAGGAAGCCCAGTTCGATGTACCTCCCCCTCCTAGTGGCATCCTAGGATGTCGGTATTGTATAGATTCTCACCAAATGAACGGTGCAACTTAGATGGCCATTCATAAGATTTTACAGATCCCACCAAGGGAACAAGTCCTTCAGATTTCTCTTAAATCCATAAATATAGGTATCCATCCACTATGGGCTAGGCTACACTACTGCTTTCAAATTATTTCCATCGTGTAGGCAAGTAATCAAGGACGCACATTCTATATACCATAAGAAATGTTAATAATTAAGCAGGTGAGGTTAAGAAGAAATTTAGATTGAAACGGAGCTAGCTACTAATATAAAATGGCTTCCAAATTAAAAAAGAAAAAGCTATTAATATAAAAAGTAAGTCCCTAATTAACCAGCAGTTTAAATTTTGCAAAGCTACCTATTGTACCCAATCAAAAGAATAAGAAAAATAGTTACCCGGTGAACCAAACAGTTGATCGAGGGATGCCTTCGTAAGAGATTGTGAATAAGAGCTATTATGACCAGTGCTCCTGATGGCGGAACAACAAGTGATAGCCTACTCAATTTCTTAGCAAAAGCAGCAGCCAAGTATGCTGGAAGAAGTGGTGACTTCAAGCAAGAATCAAGAAGCTGCCAATAATGGAGTCAACATGTTAGGAAAACACCTTGAAATGAACTATATATTTAGAAAAGCATTAGTCATATTACAACTTGGTTTTGATCGATTGCATACAGTACCTAGAACCTACATCTCTTTCTATATACATAATAGATAAACTGGAGCAGCTTCAATAGTTAGTCATCTCCTCGGCTCAATCTCTCCTTCAACAAAACTAATACTATCTCTCAGAATTAACTCAAAATAGGTGAGACGGGCAACCAAAAAGTCTTAAAATTAGAAGATGGTTCTACTCTGTAGATGAAGAGCATTTAAAATACCAAAGAGATACTTGAAATCAACTATCCAATCCAAACTCCTTAAAACATAGATGATTTCTTTATAAATAACGCAAAAAGAATTGGCAAACCATTCAAATTTACCTGAAAAAACTTGGCCCGATGTTTAGCCATGAATATTGAAGGAACCAACAGAGCATAAAGTTTTTCATAGAAGTTTGGATACTCTAAACCATATTTTGTCATAAGAAGGTAGAGGCTGCTAAGAGCCATAACACTGACAACACCACCAATATCATAGGATTTTGTTAAGAAGTCACTGCATTAAATTTGGTAACAAATGTGTCAAATGAGAAACAAGAGGTTAATTTATAAGAGAGAACATACAAGAATGATTATCAATTACCATAATATGATTGGATTAGAAAGATAAGGAATGACTTCCTGATCTAGAATAACAAGAACCTGAGTAGCAAAAGGAAAAGGAACAAAATATTAGCTGATAAAAAAGCCCAAAGAAGATATAAAAGAGTTATCATGTATAGACAATGGGGAAGGTTGTTACACAGACAATCAATAAAAGATCTTCTGAATAACCATACCATGTATTAATGAAGAACAAATGTTTGAAAAAAAAAAGATGATAGGTTTCAGACCAACCATGCAGTATACCTACAATGATACAAGAGCACATCTATGCAGAAACGAAGAAGAAACCAGGATTATAAAATGAATTCTTGAATTATTTCACGCATTACCTTGTTCTTACCCCCATTGTACATGGTTTGTTTTTATTATTCTTAAGAACACTAGAAATTTCTTTCTTCTCAAGCTAAAGGCTATTATTAAAAATAACTCAACCAAAAACAATACGAAAAACGTTATATGTATTAGAATACCAATTATTTTACAAAGTTGAGAGATTTTTCTTTTTTTTTTTTTTTGGATAAGAAACCGAACTTTTCATTGAAAAAAATGAAAACAAAACAGAAATACAAGGGCATACAAAAACATAGCCCCAAAAAAGGAAGCCAGCCTAGAGAAAGGGCTTCCAATCCAAAASAATATGACCTARCTGATAATTATARAATAAATTCRAAACARACCYCCATAAAGAGACATTAAACCTTACGAGGTCTCAAACAAACTCCCACTCTCTTTCCAAGTTGAGAGCAATTTTTTAATACAATTTTCAAACAGAAAATTTTCCCTTCAGATCACAAGGAAGCAGAACCGTGTCGTTCGAAATTAACCACATCTCCCTACCCCCAAAATAAAGTAACTAAATAAAAGTTCAAGAGAAGTAATAAATACTGCCAAAAACAGTATTTTGAGTAGTCAAGTCAACTATAACAGGTGTCAACAAAACCATACTATATAGACTAATTTCAGTAACATCGAATGCCATTATACAGAGAAAAATATCAGAAGTCGAGTGGTTACCTCCTTGTACACATCAATAGGAAGAGGTAACCTGAGAAATGAAATCCATGCTCTTGTAAATTTTACTTTCATTCTTTTAACAATCTTCGATGCTGATAAAACCTGAAGGACGTCGTTAAAAATCTTCGAGGAGTAACAATGAAAGAATTCAACATAGCCAATCCAACACTGAACAGATAGGGTAAAAAAAGATGAATAAAAAACAAAATGTGAAGACCTCCTTGTCATTTTTCCCCATCTTAAGCTGCTTTACTTCTTGATTGTCACAAATCACTTTGTCATCACCTTCAAATGGAATAATAAAGATCAAAACTAAAAATATTTCTTTATGCTTCCACAAAATTTGAGCAACAGTCAAATATAAATGATCAAAACACCCTTTGTGAGGTCTGAGATGTTAAACTCAATATGTAAGAATTCAACATTTATGCATATAGTAAGATTGATAGGAAATGACGTAGCTAATTGCATCACAAATGGAGGTTGCGTGAACAAAAAATTGATCTCTACGTACTGATTTAAAATTCAGAATCAAAGGATAAATATCTATAAGCTCAAAAACAAAGTCCATGGAAATTACCTGATTCAACCCACATAGTGTAGTCAGATATTTGATTTGAGTTTTCCAAAGGGGGAATGGAGGATATGATAGAGTGCACAATGTGAATTAATTCCACTCTGCACGGAAGAAGGTAAGTTTCACATATTCAATCAAACATCACCACTGATGAAACATCTTTAGAAAAGATTTTACAATCTAAGTGCCTTTATAGTATCGTCCAGTGGGGATGATGCAAAGCACAAAAGCAAATATATTCCTTATGATCTAAATATCATATGATCTGAAAATAAATTTGAAGAAATTGCACTTCTCTATTAAATTAACTAACATATGTTGTGCTCCCTTCTCTGTAGATGAGGGGTAAATACTCCCTCATCAGGGAATTCCCCCATTCCCTAAGACAAAGTAGACCGACTCCCTCCCTTATAATATATAGGGGTCAGTGGAATGTTAATATTACTTGCCTTTCAGGAAAAAATAACCCTAGCAAGTAGCAAAGTCATATAAAGTTTAATGATTCCAGCCATGCCCATGAGAAGGAAAATGCAATTAAACATAATAGAGAAAATGTGCAAACCATGACACAAAATTGAAGGGAAGCAGTTTAAGGACAATTTTGAGATCAAATAACATTTACCCTTCACTTGAATGACCACCGTCATCATCATTAACCCTCACATTTCCATCACCTACAAGGAGAAGCTAGTTTCAGTGAACGAAGCCTTCAAAAAATAAGAATAACACAAAATGTCAAAATAAACAGAAAGAAAGCACATATGGAAAAACAAAATGTACCAGACATGTACTCAGCCTCAAAATTCTTGGCAAGCTTTTCAATGCTGATATATGTAAAGTAACTGCACGGGTAACTAGCATGTTAAAATAGATCTGTAAGGCATTCTAAAACATGCATCTCTTAACCATGAACCATAGAAAAGAAACATTCCACCAAAAAGTTAAGATAGTGCGAATGAGGTAATACACAAAGCAAACGAGGATGGAAATATTTTACACGTTGAACTAATAAAAGGAATTTTATAATGACATGTAGGAACGGGGTTTTAAGGGCAGAAGAAAATGAACAACAACAACAAGAATGCGGACATAGAAAACGGTAAATAAGTCAAGAAAACCATACCGGACATCGAGGTGATAGAAGTACTTCTTTACAAGCAAGGCTATGAGAGTATTAACTGGCGTCGTAGAATGAGCCTACAAGTAAGAGCGGGCATTAAAGCCGAGTAGATTGCAGAAATTAAATGCAGCTCTTGTGCAATTAGCAAAGTAACTTACAATAGTCTGTAGAAACTTGTGATATACAGCAGAGTGAAATTTCCCCTTGTTGCCGACTTTAACAAACTCCATAATCGCATCCAACACAATCTCCTAAATCACGCATTAAAACAGAAGAAAAAACCGCACGATTAGACTGAATGAAAACAAAACAACAATGCAGCTAATAAACAATATACGAATTAAGAAGCACGAAAGGCTCTTGCTATTGCTACCTTGAGAGTGTCATCGCAGTCGGAAGAAACCGCCACATCGATGAGCGACTTGACGAATTCATCAAACTTGGAACGGAGCCAGGTCTGGTATATCAACTCGGCATCATCGAGAGGGTCGTCGGCGGCAGCAGGCTTGGAAGACGACGGGAGCGAGGGGAGGACGGTGACGAAGAAGGATTGGAGAGAGAGGAGGGCTTCGAGAACGTAGTGAGGAGGAGAAGTGGGAGAAACGAAGGTGAGGAGGAGAGGAAGGTTGTTGATGTGAGCTCGAGAGGAGAGGAGTTGGAGGCCTAGGGTTTTGAGCTCTGAAAGCGTGTGCTTCTCCTTCTTCGAGAGAACGGACGCCATTGGAGCTCGTACGAAGGAAGCGCGCTAAAACCTCTCGGCGGGAACAGAACTGTCACAGAACGCTGCCTAGGTTTTTCGTTTTTGAACTAGAACAGTTGACCTGTTTGTATGCGGGGCGTGGTATTCCTATCGGGGATGAGAATGTAAACCTGAACCGGATTATGATACCGTTGGCGCTTGGTTTTTATGTTTACATCCAAACACAGCCGGAATATATGCTTTGACTAATTATGTTCGATTTAGCAATAGTGATTAAATATTTTTTAATGCTAAAATATAATATAATATAATTTATTAGATTCGTCTCTCTTTAAATTTGTACAACATTAGATTGATCCTTTCTACCAGAGTAATGTTTTTTTTCTTCGTTTGATAAAAAGATATGCGTGTATTTAAGGAATGTTGAATAATTGAAGCCTTTTTAAATTAAAAGAAAATATTGCAAATATGAAATTGTTTTAGAAGTTGAGAGGTCTCAACCAATTTTTTCGTAAATTAAAAAATAAAATAATCGAGATAATTACATTTTTAATTATTTCGAGATTCACCCTGTTTAGACCCAATTTAAAATAGTCAGAGTTTAGGGATGTTAATTTCTTAGCAGGGATGAAAAATGGTGACATTTTGTTTCACATCCTATAGTATAAATCTTAATCATATTCGCCCACCTATGGTGACATTGTGTTTCACATCCAAAATTGCATGGGATAGAAAATTTGATGAAGGACGGGGAATAGAAGGTCGTCCCCACCAAACCTGTGAATATTTTCTTTCCACATTTACTATTAATAAACTTTTATCTCCCTCTCAGAGCATAATTAGTGGTCGGTGGGTTAAAGTACGTGTATCCAACCATAAAATTGAGAATTCAAATCTCCGTTCCTAAAAAAAAAAACTTTATCTTCCTATTCTATCCTTTAATTTTAATCATTTTCTCTATTACTTTGAAGGTAGTTTTGTCATTTGTCTCTCTCCAAATTCCCTCAAATTCCTCCCACTCTCTCTCCTTCTCCTTATGCCATCCCCTCTTAATTTCCAAATATTTTCTCTCCACCTTTACAAATTCTACTTTACTCAAGTAAATTTTACTCTCAAAAACTTCATTTATCTCTCTTAATCATTTCATAATTTTTCTTTCTCTTCCACTTTTAGACTTTTTTTTCTCCACCCATTCAAATTCCCGAGGCAAATTATCAAGTTTACTAAAACAACATGCCAGCAAAGAAGGAACCAACAATATAAGAATGCTATGTTCTCGCTCTTATTACCGTGATAGTGAGAAATTGGCAAAACCCCACTATATTTTGAAAAAAAACATTTGAATTCACATCCAGATCTGAAGCTCACATCATACACATTAAATTAACATGCTAATTCTCAACTACTACTTCACCTTACCAAATTAAAATGTTCATCAAGTATTTTTCTTGCCTGTAATCAGCAGCGCGTATTCGGTCGTCCGAGAATAAAACCAACCAGTGGAACTCCATATTGCCTATGCAGTAAGTTGAGAATGGGGCAGTTAGAGAAGTTCTTGAGTTCGAATAATTAGTAGCTCGATCGCCTCCTGTCTCTGTACAAAATTGAGAGTTTACTTGGCTTTAGTACTCAGGTGAAACACGAAAACAAAAACTTTCTAGTGAACCTTAAATCTGCCCAGTTAGATAATTCATTTCAAACTTGGTTCGTTACCAGAACGTTGAATCAAGGAAACTAGTGTAACAGAAAGCAGTTGCATTGTCAAGGATTTCTCTGGTCAAATTGCATGGTGGAGATCCAAGCTGGTTATGCGTATACTAAGGAGTACATACTCCTTCCATCCCCAATTTAACAAATCATTAGATAATGTACTATTTTATTTAGTGGATCCCACGTCATTCTTAAATGCTATTGATGTGGCAAATAATGAATTGAAGCAGTATGAAAAACTTTTTAGTACTTGAATTTTTTCCATACTAATCACTAACCTCGTATAACAACATGCACTTTATATTCCCAAACGCTTTAGAGAATCCGGGCCAATCAGGAATACACGCCTTTGGGTCTGGTGTCTAAAAACAACCACTCCTTTATATGCTGTCCTTGGTATACCATCCTAGAAAATGGAACATAAAATCATTATTAAATGCAATCACAGGCATATTTAATTAGAAAGGAATAACCGAATTGAGTTCATAATATTGACCTCCCTATATACAAACATGACGTAGTCAGTTATTCTCGCAATTAAAATTTGGGAACCATTTCGTCTAGCCATAACTTGAAAAGAAAAATTTTTGGTGACTTTTGGAAAGGTAAATAGTGCTTTTAGTCTAATAAAAGCACTTTTTTACCTAATCAAGTGTAGTTTTTTGAAAATTTTAAAAACAATTGCTTTTACTTCAAATAATTTTTTCCAAAAATCATCCAAAATTCATTCTCATTGCAATTGCAGATGTGGAAAAGAGACCAACAATACCTTCCATTCTTCAAAAATTCCAAACTGCCGAGCAATTCGATCAAAGTCTGGCTGGTCTCGGTACTCGATTCGAACATCACCAACAGTATTAAAAGCCTTCATAACTGCATCATTTCCATAAACGGGTTTTGCATTTCTAATAACATCTGCAAAGTACTTCACATATTTGTCCTACAAAAAGGAATAGGACATCAATAAGGGAAATTTTTTAATAAGCTCTGCTGTTCCCAATCAACATCATGGTTCGATAAGCAAAGATGGCTAGGGGCAATAGGTAACTGGGATTACATCAATATTTTGAAGAATCAAGGATGTCACTCGTCCCATTCAAGTACACATCATGAAAATTCTTTTGTGGAATAATCGAGGCCTAGGAGATTTTAAGTAAAGAGTAGCTTTTATTTTTGCTTGGCTGGATTTTCATATACCAAAGGATATCTCATATTTAGTTCACTTCGGAAAGAAGCGTGGGCATGAAATTTTCAGTTTTGCTTGGCTGGTTTCTCGGCTTCTTTGAATTCCTTTGAATTTCTGAAAAGTTTTGAGAAGTTGAAAGGTTTTTCTAGGAATCCAAAAGGTTTTTATTTGGCCTTCATATTTTTTTTTAGTACAATACGTTGGGAGGGAATTCGAACTCACAACCTCTTGGTTTGAGGTATATGTCAATTACCGCTGAGCTATGCTCGCTTTGACTATTTGGCCTTCATATTTGATAATGATTGGTGATGTTTTGGATTCCAATGACGAATTTGAATAGTCTTTTTTCTGTTGGATGTGCTGCTGTAGGTCCTCATGTCTTTGCATCATTTATTACCTAAAAAGAATTTTGGTCTATGAGTTTGAGTATTTGAGCCTTGAAAAAGGATCTCAAATAGCCTTCCTTTCTTTTGTAGTAAGCCTATTAGCAGAGTAGGTAGCTCGTACCGCTCCTCTAGTTTCAGTAGTTTAAGAGTGAAGCTAGTTTAGTGAATCGATAAAAAACTATTCCCATTCCCATATATCTGACTGACAAAGAGAAGAAGGCAATTATCTAATCCATACCGGAGAATCTAAGAGAGACATTACCGTCGAGATTCTGACAAAAAAATTCGATATTCCATGCTCTCAGAGAGTGCCTTGTCATGATAAGTCACTGACATATTTTTGTCTTTATTTGACTCCAAGAATGGATTGGATCGAAACGACTTCCAGCCTCCTTTTTCTCTCACCTCTTAATGAAGAAGGGGTTTTGGTTTCATGACTTGCTGGTTTTACATGGATCCTCTTTAATCAAAATGCTATCCATTATTAGCATTCTTAAAGTCAAATGCATCAAGGAGAATTTGAAGAGTTTTATTCGGCAGAGTCTTCTTTTTGTCCTTGCAACTCCTTTTAAAGAAGGGGATTCATTGGTTGGCTATATCCTTGGAAGTTTAAAGTCTCCTCTTCTTGATCTATATATAGTCTTTTGAAGACCATTAGAGTTGGGAGCTTTTTCTTTAGAGTTCTTGTCAATTGAGATGACCTCTCATCCCCCTTCCTCAAACTCCTCTACTATTGAAGATTCTTCCAATTCTTATATTGTCTTAGAAAGATGGATTGAGATCCAACCTCTAAATCTGAAATTGCTAAGATTGCAAAAGGAAATAGTTTCTTGCAAAGAAGCTTGGGTTAGAAGAAAGTTAGAGCTGCAATCCGAAAGGAAGGAGTCGATGGTTATGCTAAAATTTTTTTAAAATACAAAGCTTTGGGTCTAGGAGATGAGCCGAGAGTTTAAATATTATTGAAGTTTGGTCTTTTGAAGAATGGAATTTTTTGCAAACAAGTTGAAGTTTTCTCCACTCTTTGATGATGTTTTTGCAGTCTTCCACCAAGATTGAAGGGATCGGTTCAGATTATTTTGGCTTTTGCGTCTCCTTTATAGTCTCTTGGTTTTTGTTCATCAGATTATTTTATCTTGTATCTTCTTATTTTTATCAGTTTGTTCCCTTTTGTATTTTTTATTAATTTCTTTAGCACCCTTTGGGTGTTTGGTTCCCTTCAACATTGTCTTTCCTTTTCATTTCTTCAATCAAAAGTTTTTATCTTGTTGACAATTTCATTTCTTCAATCAAAAGTTTGTATCTTGTTAAGAAAAATGACAATTAGTGATAGATTTATTTTTATCAACTTCAAATACATAAACATGAACATTACCTCCATCAGGTAGCTCAAATCCATAGACTTCCAGTCGATCTATACCAAGCAAAAGATAGAGAAAACTTCAAATTCAGTTTCAACTCGATGACAACAAGAAGATCATTCAGTGCTTACTTGAACGTCATTCAACTTGATTGGCTCGAGGTATTGCCTGAAAAATTGGCCCATACTGGAGCCCTGCAAATGATCCAAGAAATTCAGAAAGAGTAGCGCAAAAAATGCAGAACATTTAGGTGAAGAGCTAGTATGACTTGGGAATGTTGAAACACAATACTTCTTGTCTGGTCCCTCGTGGCTCAGAAGAAGTGGATAAGTGCAAAATTACTTACATGCTCACCAAAATTATATGTTCTGCACACTTCTGGACGAATAAATTGGCGACCTTTGTGATTCTCCTTCAATCTCAACCAGTCATCCCAATAAGTTTGATTTGTCAAAGAAACAGTTCTAGAGGAAGTTTAATAAACTGCATAGATCATTTTGAACCAGATTCTAGAGTAAACTAAATGAAAAGGATATGCTTTGGGCCACTTCGGTGATAGCTCATCCCAAATAGATTTAGTCAACATCCAACCAAGTCCTGGAAAGAAATCTGAGCGATACAATAGATCTGCAGAGTACATATATATAAGTGTAAATAAAAATAAGGTAAAACTAAAGATTGAACTGTTATAGAATTGATAAAGTTTCAGAGTACATATACTTGACAAGAGTGAATTTTAGCAGCTTGCATTTTGTTTAATTAATTGGTTTTCTAGCTTTAATACAAATAAGAGTTCAGGCTACTGATTGTACCTAATTTTTCGAAAGATTTTAAGCGAATAAATTTCTTCCAAGTGGAATCCAGTTATTTTCTGGTCTAGATTTATTCTACTCAATTATTTGCTCCTTTTTGCTTCAATATAATGAAATATAAAAATCAAGGGACAGATGGTCTCATACAGGCAACTATCAGTAGTTATTAACCATTGCATTACCGAGTTTGATGATTTCATGAGGAAAGAAGAACAGTGGCACATAGAGAAGAGAGAGGGTGAGCCAAATGAGAGGTCAATAAACTCTTCTACAGTATGAAATGTGGATGTTGTTGTACACTAAAATGGAGGGAAAATATTCCATCATTAAACTTTGGCAGTGTTCATCTCAGTGAAGAATATACAGTAAGAATTTCCATATCATGCCCACTATGTCATTCAATTATTGTTCCGAATGTCTAGAGAGCATCAATAAAGAACTTACAAGGATCATGCACAAACTGCTTTTGTCCATTGTCATTCCATGAAGAGACGGCCATTATGGTCCTGCCATGATTTAAAAGAGTTCCAAAGTTTTGGAAGTTACAGTCAACATAAAGAACTGAAAATGAGGTCAAGTGCATTGGACACACTTATCCTTTTCAAGTAGCATTGCTGCAGCCCCAAAGTAACTGAAAAAATCAGGAGCAATTTCCATATCATCTGTATAAAAATAAAAGTATTTATCCATAAGAGCAACAAAGTATAGATAAGAGTAAAGAGTAGTAAAAATTGTCCTCACCTTCAAGGATAATCACACGGTTGAAATTATGCTTGTAGAATAACTGATCCAACGCCCATTTGTAATGACCTGAGACAACCAATTGTTTGCAATGTGAGTGCTAGTAAAATGTTCCACAGCTCAAGAGAATATGAATTAGAATTCTTTTAGGATATTATGAAGCATGGGAATTGGGCTCATGAGAAAGTAAATCTTATTACCCCTTCCAAAGTTAGTTTTAGGAACAGTTATAGGCTGATCGGAATTTGTTTCTCATAGGTATTAATATCCCATTCCAAGGTCAAAAAACTCGCCAACTTGGTGGGCTTCTAGTATTACTACAGAGATAAGGAAGTGGAAAACTTCCATACCTCAAAAGTATTTGAGGGTATTGTTAGGGATTCCTTACATTCTATGAGCTCAAATATTGTATATGGGATCTTTTGTCTGTTGGCAACTCATGTAAGTGCATAGTTAAATTATAGATTTATCTCTAAACTTAATTGGGTTGTGTCTACTATACTTAGTCCTTATATTTTAAACAAATTCTAATAGATTTGTAAACTTTCAAGGTTTTGTCTACTTAGTCCTCATATTTTAAAACATTTCTAATAAATTCATAAACTTTCAGGATTGTATCTATTTGGTCCCTCTACTTTAAAAAGAATTCTAATAAGCTCCAAAACTTTTTTTTTGTTTTTTTTTTTCTGAATAAGATACGAACTTCTCATTGAAATAAATGAAAAGGAACAAAATTGTTCAAAGATACAAACTCTCGAAAGAGTGAAAATACAAATAAAAGCTACTAAAAAACTCAGAAAGTTGCAATAAAAACATTCCAATTTGAATAAATCAAACTAGGAGAATAATGTTTAAATAAGGGGGATAGAGAACTCCATTGAGAGGCCTTGAATTTGGCAATGTCAAAACGTGCTAAAGGACGCTGCCTCTTTTCTTAAAAAATCCTCAAATTTCTTTCATACCACAACTCATAAACTAACGCCTTTAATCCATTAAGCCATAGTAGAGAAGCTTTAGGATTCATAACCGGCCTCGAGAGAAGATAATTCAAATTTTATGCCATCTCTTTGCCAAACACCCATGCCAAATTAAATTCTTCCAATAAAGAATTCCAACACAGTCTTGCATAGGGGCATAAGAAGAACAAATGCACCATATTTTCTTCACTGGACATACAGAGAGCACAGACCGATGGTAAAAGACTGTAGTTGGAGAGCTTCCTTTGTAGAATATCAGTGGTGTTGACTTTTCCAAGGAAATAAGCTCCAAAACTTTCAATTTTGAGTCTAATAAGTTTCTATCATTAACTCTAAAAGTTTATTGTTTACACCGCCAAATGCTTGAACTCACCACATAATTATTACATAATGTAGTCAGTGTGACATATGTCAAAGGACCAATTAGACATAAAATTGAAAGTTTAAAACCTATTAGAAACCTTTTAAATTACAGGGACTAGATGACACAATCTTGAAAGTTCATGGACTTATTAGGAACTTTTTAAAGTATAAGGACTCAATAGACAATACCGTAAAAATTCACTTATCAAACTTACTATTTAACCTAAATATATCTAGGATAACTATATTATATTAGGTTATTTTCACTGAGTTGTAAGTGTCCTACTCAAGCTGAAAGTTAAGTTGAAGGAAATCGGCTGAAGGAACAAATTGTTGAGAGAGTAGAGGAAGAAACTGATTGTTGCACCCGCAACCATGAAAACAGAGTTTGCACCAACGATCAAGGGTTAAACTGTTATATGTGACAGAGAAGGGAGAGGACAAACAAGGAGAGAGGCGGCTAGGACAATCAGAAACCTACTCGAACTTACCAAGAGACCTGTTCCAAGAGTTACAAGGTGAATCAAGCTTCAAATTGTTCTTAAAGATTTTGATAATTGGAGAAAGATGTTAAATCACTGACAGAAACGTTTGCTTGGCTTCAAAGGTTCTCCAAACCTTTTTTTTATATTCTTAAAATATTGCATATATCACCATTTCTTTCAATATAAAAATCATAAACTAAAACAAAATTTTATTATAAATGTCACTGAAATGTATAAAATATTCAAATATAAATATAACATGTAGATTTGAAAAAAACGTGGTCGTGTAGTACCCTAAGTCTTCTAGAAAATAATGGATTGTCATGTGCATCTAAAATCTTGTAGGTGCTTCTTAGATTGTACATTCCAATGGTTTCTAAGAGATTTTCTAGATATGTGGACCATGAAGGATAGAAATGAAATATGAAAGAGAAAATAGGTGAAAATTATTCTATAGTACAACAGTGGGGGGATTGAGCCTCCAACCTTAAGGAAAGGGTTTAACAAAATACAAACTATCAATTCAAAAAATCAAGTTTCCTTAAGCATGCTTGACTTTTAGCTATCAAACATTCTAGGTTCCAAGCAGGCTACACCTAGATGTAGATGATTGCTTCTTCCTGATAGCTTTCCCTATCGAATATTCCCAATATCATTCATGCAAAAACACAAAAGTTTTTTGACAGGTTACAACAAAGAAAAAACAATCTTACGTGCAATTTTGTAATATGCAATCAACTCCCCTGGCCTTTCAGTTTCCACTTCTCCATAATCTAAATGCTGCAACAAACAGAATTCAGAGTTGATAAGAATGGAATGGCCATAAAGCAAGGTTATATTTAGCTTGTATATAAAGCATTTCCATCAAGAATCACGTATCAGGCCCAAAAATAGGCTTTCAGAAAGTGTAAACATATGAACTAAATTTATTGCCCTAGTGTCCATCGTTTTTTCCACAATACCCCCACATGTGTGTCTAAGAAACATTAGACTCAAACAAAAACCAAAGGTAGTAAGGAAAGATAAGACATTCTCCCCCATTCCATCCAAATGTAGATTAATAAGAGATCTCCAACTGGTTCGAGAAAAGGAGAATAATTACAAAAGAATCTTATAGGATCTTGAGGCCATCTATCTGCATCACCTATGTCAGGAGGAAGAAAGGGGAGGCTAACAGGTGAGCAAGTCAACGTAATAAGCATAGGATTTAGCCATTTAGCGTGTCAATGTAATTGGCTGTGGCTTAGCAGGAGTGAGTATGAGAAAGTTGGTTATGTGTTGGTATCTCATTCAGAGTAATGCAGCTGAGCCAGCAAAGCTTTTGTGTTGTCCTGGAGTGAAAACTCCAGAAGGGAGAGTTCAAACCTCTTGAAAGCCGAGAAACCTGTGGGGTTGTTTGGAAACTGCATTCAAAGACAGTTTTCTGTTTTGTTATAATAAAAGTTTTGTAAACAAGTGTTTGGATAACTACTTTCTAGAAGTTGTTTTGACACAAGCCTTACTCTTTATTTCAGCTCGTCAACTACTTTATTAGCAATTAAAATGGGGTTAATAATTTGTCTACCACGAATAAGGGCCAACTGGTAAAGTGCAATTGACACATGAAGGATCTTTTCAACCAAGCTGCTAGACTTTAGCTGAGATTTTACAAGCTGATGCAGTGAGGCTAATTCATCTGAAGTCCCCCATTTCAGATAATCATGGGGATTCAAGGGAGGTGAGTTTTCCATCCTTTTTAATTTATTAAGAGAGAGAGAGAGACCAATCCCTTCAGAGTTTGAGGGTGAGAGAGATTGGCTTAAGGAAAGGGATTATTTTTTCTTCTTGAAGAGGATGTTTGGGGCGGGAGGTAGTTCATTAGTGTGTAAGGATTTTGGGAACGTAGTTCTTCAAGGAAAGGAAGCTTTGTACTACTTTCTTCACTGTTTCGATCATGCGTTTATTTGTCAACAGTAATCAAATAAGAAGAAATGGCCAATATGAGTATTCACACGTCCTCAATACTATGTAATTTAGTTCCCAATTAGCCATAATAAGAAAAAATTAAAAAATAATAATAATAATGAAGCTTCGTGGTGTATGACTAAACCAGATGCATTAAAAAGCCCTCACCCCCCAACCTCCCATATCCTCAAAACTCACAACTAATTAAACATTAGAAATGTGGCAATCGCATTTTGACCAACTAATTTGTAAAATTTAGGAAGTGGAGACGGACATGTCCTGGGGCTTTTCCAGGGAAGTTTCTTATTCGGGAATCACTAATCCCTTCAGTGCTCCAAATTTTCCAAGATGAAGCTTCCCCAAGAGGTAAGAGTGGGGATACAAAACCTTGACCAGCCTATTCCATCACCTCATCACCCTACTCCCAAAAATGGTTGACATAATGGAGCAGCATATCACCTCAAAAAAAAAAAGGGCGCCATGTGAAGAATAAAAAACGTCATATCATACATTATCAATATAGAAACTATAAAATGAAAAAACCGTGGTCAGCATATAGCACTCTATACAGGAATATTGCTTCACTAACCTGCATATAGGTCAACTGATCATAGCTAAGAGCCATTCTTTTTACATCGGGGTTTGTACCATCCTGTGAATACATACAATTTGAACGCGTTCTCACAACTAAGAACGTATATTGAACCCACAAAAATACACTATGTTTCTATAGCCGCAAAAGAATTTAAGAAAAATACCTGGGAAACAAAAACAGGATATTTTGAAGCAACGGTTGTTTGATATCTGGATAATATCATGCAGCCATTAGTAAACCCAAAGATTTCTACTGCATTGCCAGCAACGAGCAACCAAATGGATTAAGAGGTCTTATAAGACATACTTTAGAACAGACTTAATAGTCCTTTCCAGATAATCTGCACGATTGCATGCCATAATTACAACAGCTGCCACAGGCACCTAAAAGATTCACGCAAAATAATTTGTAAATTTAAGGGGAATAGAAGTTAGAGGGCATACAATGCGGAAGGAAAAAAGGGTTAGAAGCACTTCATTCAAAGTATACCTGTGTTTTGTCTGTAAGTTGTTGCAGACCTTTGCCTACAAATTTTAGAAAGAGAAAAACAATCAAACAGCCTTGAAGATTACAAGTACAACTGAATGCCGATTTGACCGCTATTAATTAAAAGTGTCAAAATGGCAAAAGGGTGCAGTGTGGTCTTGATTAGATGGTCATTCCTTAAGGATTCTAGTTATTCCCTTCTCCACTTTATTGGTGACACTATTGCAGTTTGAAGGAAGTGGTTTTGGTTATTCGGCTCGCTATCTCGTCAAGATTTTAGTCATTTAGCTTTTCAATGTTTCTATTCTCTTGTATTTTTTAGATTGTTGGGCTGTTTTTTGTCCTTTTCCGCTCCCATTGGGAGTTTGTATCCTTTAACATTTTTCTTCCTTTCCATTTCATATTATCAGTGAAAAGTTTATTTCTTGTTAAGAAAAAGGGTGACAAAATATCAACAATATAGAGTTGTCATTCTTATTTACAGAACATTGTAAATATTTTCTCCTTTTTTCCCCTCACTTCAAATGGTAAAAAAAATCTGGAACAAAAGGGTGAAAAGACTGATTTTATAATGCAGAAGCCAATGAGTCACTCTGCCTTTCTCGATCAACTATAACTACTAACGTCAAAATCAAGCCACTATTAATACTCTATGGGGGACTCCTTTGTCTATAGATTTCCACTTTAGTAATTAAAGACCTACAATTAGTCATATGACAAGAGCCACATCCATAAAAAACATAAATATCCCAGAATGGGTTGTCTGACCTCCTTGACAAAAGATAATGGGTAAAAGTCAGGAAGTAAGCTGTTAAGCAGAAAATGAAGTCTACTGAAGCGCATACTTTCAAGATCTTGAAGTAGAGTCTTCAGCTGGATACGTTCGTCAAAGTGGTGTTTCCTTTCTTCTGAAGATGTATCAGTCTTATAAGAAATAAGTATTGCCTCCAATTACCGAGAAAGTAACAAGATATTGATTATTTTACCAAAAAATAAAAGAAAACAAGAGTTATTGGACTGAAGATAAGTGAACTATAAATAATACTGTCGGTTTTGCTTCTCAAGGGACATGTCATAGTGAGGAAGATATTCTAACGAGATGACAAAAAGACCATGTAAAACACTGCATGCTTGAAAACAAAAATAATTGAATTTTTTTTTTTAAGAATAAACTTGGCAACGATGACATGGTAAATGTATCGAGGCAACGATGGCACAAACAACCTCAATGTATCGAGGCAATCAAGAGTTCACCAGGTTAGCATGAGAAGGAACAATGATACTGAATGAAATAGCCACGTGTTCCTTTTTATACAATTAAATCTTTGAGGTAAAACAAAATCTAGCATGGAGACACATTCTGACCTTCATTAAAGAGCTGAGCAATAAGCTCTGATTACCCTGCTCAATTTTACCATTAGCATGGACATGGAACTACTAAACCTACACAATGTAGAATTGAAACTAAACTTTTAGCTTGTTCTTCTGACGAAGACAGTCTTACAGTATGGTAGATTGAACCATTTGAGCCTGAGATAGACATAAAATCCATGTAAAGATGGACAAGTTAAAAAATCTTCGAAAACAGTTACAGGATTTGATCAACATTTTCATCAATTTAGAGTGGAATTTTCCCAATTTACATGGCACGTTCAATTAAGATAGTTGCTTAAGCCACTATGACAGATACCGCACCTTCAAGGGCCACAATTTGTCCTTGTTGCATGCTTATCTGATCAATTAGTAATCGCATTTGACTGGTACAGTGATTCTCTGACTCAACCTGTAATAAAAAATTACTCTTATATATGAAGATAATTTCAGTCACAGCAACAATCAACAAAATTGCTAGGCTAAAGCTCAAAAGGACAAGGCAGCGTATCCTACATTGATGATTGTGGCCTTTGACATCTAAATAGTGACTGAAATTTAGTCAAAGACAAAAACATAACAAAAATCGTAGAATGCCCAATTCTTTCCAGAAAGAATGGAGGTCAGCAATGTAAATGAGAAAAGCTATACACACGTAATTTTAAGTGAACAGCTTCGGACAAGCAAATTTATGAATGGTGTTAGGTTTGAAATAAAGCAAACATAAATTTGATTTGTGTTGAATTTTGAAGGACATTAAACAAAAGTTAAGGAGAAAGTGTAAGTTGAAATTCCTCTCCTTTTAATGTCCGACTCAAAATCTAAATTAAGGTTCTTACTTATCCTACAAAATCTAAATTAAGGTTCTTACTTATCCTACAAAATCTAAATTAAGGTTCTTACTTATCCTACATGTACACCTCACAGGTGTAAAAATTTTCCAAGACTGATAACACATTGAGAATCCATACTGTATTTTTTTAAAGTATTAAAGAAAGGAAAAAGAAACAATGACATTTGAACTTTCAATATATTAGAAATAGGTTTGATTACAAACCCTAATATGGTTTCTTCGATTTTTTAGAATCATGTGTAATAATAATATAACCATTGCTTTTTAGTTTATTGTGGTCGAAAGCATCCATTAATTATAATTGTGTTTTCAGTATCATAAAACTAAAATATTGAGTCCTCAAAAACTAACTCATATGCTGTCCATTCATAAATTTCAACTGAGGCCTAACTCGAAGTCCTCGTAGAAATTTAATAGATAATACTCTCATTGATGACATATTCAGAAAATTTAAATTGCAGAACATATACTGGGATCAGGTATTGACTATAATTACGATCCCATTCAATGTTAGAGAAGAATGGACAACGTACTGCATCAGCTAGACGATCTGCATATTGTGATTGGGTCGCGAATAGCCGCATCTAAATAAAACAACAATTCGTCAAAGATAAAAACGCCAGTGATCTTGTGAATTAACAAGTAGAAAACTAATAATAACTTCACTGATTCAAAAATAGTATAAGTTCAGCTGAAAACCAGAGGAAGTTCGCATCGGAAATGCAGCTACGAACACATTAACCAATTTCGCACAAGATTTAACTCAAATTGAAGCGAAATTTCAGTCTAAGCAAAACGAAAAGAAAGACGAGCACTCGTTTCAGATTATGACAGACTCCGTGAGAGTTTGAGGAGTACCTGGATGTAGATGAACGCCACGGCTGCAACGAAAAGTAGGAACCGGAAATCGCAGAAGAAACTACCCATATCTGAACAGAAAATCGAAAAAACACCAACGATGATGATAATTACAATTCGAATTGTTGAATCTCTCTCTTAAATAAATCAGATTTGCAGTCGCGACGACTACGAGTCAATTCAGTTCTTGGAAACTCATGGTTTCCTTCTCCTTTCTCCTTCTCCTTCACGTTTGCTTGCCAACGTGCGCTTTTGTTTTCGTGCTAAACATATGTATATGGTCATTAATCTTGCTAAGAAATTCTCAATTTCGCTTTAAATTTTTCCAGAAATTTTGGTGCCTGATGTTTGAACCAGGTGTTTACTTGGTCTTAAAATTTTAAAAGGAACACTTTTGGTTTTAAGGTAGGTGTCTAATTAGTCAAATGTACACTTTTGATCGGTTAAAATTATGTGTCAATTTGATCCCTGGAATTTTTAAATGAACATTTTTGTTCCTGAAGTGTGAGAAATGGTTCTAAATAGTCCATAATTTTTTTACTGTTATTAACTAATATTAAAATGACGTGTCAAATTGCAATTAAATTATTTATTGTAGTTGGTGATATGACAAATTATATTAATTAAATAATATATATCAAGTATGAATGGCGGACGGCGACGGCAAAGACATGGTGGTCGCCGAAAAAGGGTAAGAAAGATAGATGAGGAGAGGAGAGAAAAAGTGTCATCACCTGCACATATATTATTTAATTAATACAATTTGTCATGTCAGCAACTACAGTAAATAATTTAATTGCAATTTCACAAGTCGTTTTAATATTAGTTAATTAACAGTAAAACAAATAAGTGATCATTTATAACTATTTCTCAAATTTCAAAGACCAAAAGTGTTCATTTAAAAACTTCTAAACACCAATTTGACCCGGACCAAACATGTTCATTTTGAAACTTCAGGGACCAAGTAGACACCCATCTCAAATGTCAAGAACCAAAAATGTTCATTTTAAAATTTCATGAACCAAGTAGACACATGTCTCAAACCTTAGAGACAAAAAAATGTATTTTGCCCCATTTTTAGTTATATCATTTTTGTGTTAAAGATTCTCAATTAGGTCCTGCACATGAATGTTTATTTTTTCCTTTTACTTCTACAATATTTGATAGAATTGACTTTAATTCTTGAGTTATAAATTTATTCATTCAAAAACAACTTTTATTAAATAATAAACTAAACTCGATCCGCTAAAGTGAGCATAACTCAGTGATAATTGATATATCTTTAGATAAAATGTTGTAAGTTCGATATCCACGCCCACATGTCGTACTAAAAAACACTGAACTCAACCCAATCATGAAAATATTTGGATTAGATTGACTATGAAGTCATAGATTCGAAATATTGTATTAACAAAAAAGAATCTGTTAATATCTTAAATATTTATCTATATATTTTTAACATCACCATATATAAATCAATGTTTATTTATAGGGTAAAAAAATAAATTTATTTTATTTTAAAAAGTTGTAGACAAAATGAAATCATTGGATGAGATAAAATTAAAATAAATATATATCGTATATAATTATATGATAAGTAAAAAAAATTAATAATTTTAAAATTATTGATAAGTTCGGGTTGGTTCAGTTCCAAAGATTTATATTATATGAACCCTTGAACCAATCAAACCCATAGATTTTTTATTTATTTAAACACAACCTAATTCAAATAATTTTATGACCCAACCGAAACAATATGGATTTGATTGAGTTGATCATTTGAGTAATCGAGTTTTTTTAACCTTCATAGTTATGATGTTTGAATTGGTTGCGTTATGTTTAGATAAAAATTTGTGTATCATTTAAATTGTTGTTTTATTAACATAATTTTACAAGTTGAGATGTACTCGGATGTTATTTTCACTCAAAAAAAACCAATTTGCCAAGCAAAATTCATTTCTTACTGGTGGTATGTCAACGTGTTTAAATATATCAATAAATAAAACAATAATTTATTGAAATATTAGTATTTTGTGAAAAAAAGTTAAAACACTTTTTTTTTTTAAATGAAATGAACTCATTGAGAAATTGAATACATTAAGAATATAATTGGGAATTTTAAAAAGTTGGGATTGAACCAATTTATTACTAAACCATGTTTTATTCTATAAAGTGAAATTTAGGTTGAAAATGAATTTACGTGCTAGTTATTGTAATATAATAAAATTTTATTTGACAACATAGTTTAAGTTTTTTGTTTCCTATACTAAAAAAAAATAATCTTACCATACCACATGTACTTTCTTCATTAGTTAGAGCATTTTTCATATGGATTTTGAGTATTTTATTGGCTGAATTTTATGTAATTTATTAGTTAGTTTGTGGGTAATTTTAAAGTTAGATTTGTTAAGATAAACATAAAATATTTACTAAAACGATGGCCAAATTATTGAATTAACTATATTGTTTATTAAAGAAGAAACGGTTTGAAATCATTAGGGATGTAATCAAATTGGCAATTCAATAAAATAAAACAAAATAATCTTATATTTTCATGGAAATGAGTGGGGATAGGCAATATAACACAAGAATATTGGGTCAAACCAAACATAACTCAAGTGGTTAAGACATCAAGTGGTCATGAGTTCGAAACCTATATCGTAAAAAAAACAAAAAAAAAACTCCATAAAAGCAAAAAAAAAGGAAGTGGTAGGCCATAGTCTTGTCTTTTTTTTTTTCCTTTTTCTTTTTCTTTGGATTTTTCTGTCGATTACGACAATACCATCAATTGAAAATAAAATACAATGTGATTGGTATATTTCATTTTCAATATTGGAACCAATAAACCATTTCAATACAAGCCAATTACATCCAACCACCATTCACTAGCTCCAAAATATCTTTGATTTTTTTAGCATCATACTGTAATTAAAAAAAATAGAAAATTTTAAAGAATCTAATATTTTTCTAAACCATCAAATTGTACGAGACCACAAATTTTATATTGAATAAAGGGATGTAAGTATGAAACATTATATCATATTAGATGAGATATCAAGACTATACAAGTTATGAGGTGTCAAATACGAACTTCAAATTTCGAGTCTCGATTGAACGGCAGGCTGCTTTCATCCCTCCTTTGGCTGCGATCCTTCAAATTTCACTATGAGTCCAAGTTGAAAAAGTTCAAGAATGGTCCCCCCTTATACAATAGGGGCCGAGACACCGATCATGTCAAAGCCTCATGCCGAGCAAATTACTGAAGTTGGTTCTGAGTCAGCTGGCGATTCAGAAAAGACTGCTGAACAGAGTGTTGAAGGAACACAGCCTACCGAATGTGTTCCGAAGTTCGTAGGTAAAGAAGTTGAAGAGACGGTTCAGTCACAGCTGAACCGACTGAGATCACAGGGAGCGATCCCCACAGCCACTAAAGATAGCTGGAGCCAGGTTTTTTTCGATGTTTTTTTTCCCTACTTCCACCACCAAGCCTAAGACTCAAATTACAATTTGTGTAGAGAGACATAAAAATGTACTCTTTTTATAATTATTTATATTTATTATGATGATGTAACTAATTAGCTGCCGATCCTCGAAAAGTTCATCAAAACTTACCACAAAAAAACGTGGAAATAGGCAAATATTTTGCTTGATTATTTTATCCATTATATGTGCCTACCCTTATCTAATCAAGCCAAAGTAATATGATTGATGTTATTTTTTTCAAGCAAAATAATATTTGATGTTTCAAACCAAACAAAAATAATAATAATAAAATATAATATGAATATTTTATTTATCAACTCCCCAAAAATCTTCCATGAATCGTCACCTTCAAACTTCACCAATAATCTTCTTCTCCTCTTTCTTCACCTGTCAAATTCAAACCAATCACACAGCCGAGAGAGGCTCTTTCGCCGGCAGCTATGGGGAACGAGAGGGACGCCGCCGCCGCCATCGCCGGCGGCTCTACCGCGCACCGCCTGAAACATCCTTCGCCGCTAGAAGACACGCCACTCCTCGGCGGCGGACGGCCGCGATCCTCCCAAGCGAAGACGTTCGCGAACGTCTTCATTTCGATCGTTGGCGCCGGAGTTCTCGGCCTTCCTTACGCGTTCAAGCGCACCGGATGGGCCATGAGCCTCCTCATGCTCTTCTCCGTCGCCGCCGTCACCTATTACTGTATGATGCTCCTCGTCTACACTCGCCGGAAGCTCGTCGCCGACGGCGCCTCCGAGATCAATTCCTTCGGCGATTTAGGGTTTTCGGTTTGTGGCTCATCCGGCAGGGCAATCGTGGATATTCTTATAATTCTAGCCCAAACCAGCTTCAGCGTGGGATATTTAGTCTTCATCGGCAATACTTTGAGCAATCTCTTCAATTCATCCACCATGGATTTAAGCCCTAATGTTCTAGGAAATTCCCCTGAAATCTTCTACATCATGGGCTGTTTACCCTTCCAATTGGGACTGAATTCGATCAAAACACTGACTCATTTAGCTCCGATGAGCATTTTCGCAGATGTGGTTGACCTAGGAGCCATGGGAGTGGTGATGGTGGAGGACATTTCCGTCGTCTTGAAGAGGAGGCCTGCAGTGGAGGCCTTCAGAGGGCTCTCGGTGTTCTTCTACGCCATGGGAGTGGCTGCTTACGCCTTCGAAGGGATCGCCATGATTCTGCCTCTAGAATCAGAGATGAAAGACAGAGACAATTTCGGGAAGATCTTGGCTTCTTCAATGGCGTTCATAGCCAGCTTATACGGAGGATTTGGGATTCTGGGCTATTTCGCCTTTGGAGAAGAAACAAGCGATGTGATTACTTCAAACATGGGTCCAGGATTGCTGAGCGCCATTGTTAAACTGGGTCTCTGCATAAACCTGTTCTTCACGATGCCATTGATGATGAATCCAGCATACGAGATCATAGAGAGGCGATTCTCGGGAGGAAGATACTGCGTGTGGCTGAGATGGCTGCTGGTTCTAATGGCGACATTAATAGCGATGTGGGTTCCTAATTTTACAGATTTCTTGTCATTGGTTGGGAGTGGACTCTGCTTTTCATTGGGGTTTGTGCTGCCTGCATTGTTTCATCTGCTGGCCTTCAAGGAAGAGATGGGGTGGAGAGGATGGTGTTTGGATATGGTGATTGTGGTTTTTGGAACTGTTCTTGGAGTTGCTGGGACTGTGACTGCTGTGAAACAGATGTATTCTGCAAATGGGACTTCCATTTGAGCTCAGAAAGGGGAGTTTCTGAGCTTGAAGATGAAGATGATGCGCTTCTGCTTCATTTTTGGTTCAAGAAGGTTTGATGTTAATTATTGAGTTTGTGGTTAAGATTTTGTCTGGTTGAGGTATTGCCACAAATTTCTTGTTTGTGGGTTTTCTCATCCTGTATCGTGTATTATAATAATCTATTTGTATAATGAATTTTGAATTAAGAGATGGTGAATATAATTAATTTTAGGTTAAAAATTACATTTAGTCTGTAACAATTTAGCCTCTGAAATTTGAACGATTCAGTCAGGTGCTTTTATTAAATTAATAATTTAGTCCCTAAATTTTAGTTTTAAAATTTGTATCAAGTAACAAAATTTATTAAAATTAAGTGTTAAATTTTATCATATAATAATTTAATCTTTCTAACAAGAAAAAAGTTTCGTGATAATGATTAAATCGTAACTAACTTTAAATTACAATGATTAAATTGTTACATAGTAAAGTTCAATGACTAAATTGTTATCAATTTAAAACTACATCAACTAAATGGTTACTTTTGTATGGTTACTTTTAATGAAAGTACAAGGACCAAAAAGTGCTTTTTAATCTTAATTTTAATAATTTTTTTTTATTAGTTTGGTTAGGTGTTGGCTATTGAATTTTTCATTTTTAAAATGTTAGCCACTGCAATAACATTTTATTTTTATAGAAAAAGGTATAACACACACATTCAAGGAGAAAAGGTCTGCTTTAATGCACCTAGGACGTCTAAGTGTCCCTTTCTTGACACTGGTCCGAGCCGCTATATTCGCATCCCCGACTCAACATTGAAGTGGTCTCATGCACAATCATTATGTTATCGGGTTATTCCTCGAACGAAGCACCTAGGACGTCTAAGTGTCCCTTTCTTGACACCGGTCCGGACCGCTATGTTTGCATCCCCGACTCAACATCGAAGTTGTCTCATACACGGCCATTATGTTATCGGGTTATTCCTCGAACGAGCTCCAAACTAATTGCTTCCAGTTTTGAACTTCATCAAAGTCAGTGACACGAGATTTGTTTGGTAACTTTCTTAGGTATTTTTTCCAATTTTTCAGGGAAGTTTCTAGTTTTTAATAATTTAAAAAAAAAAGGTAAAATTACCTTTAGTAGCAATTTCTTTTCCTCTTTTTTTCTGTTTTACAAAAGTTAACTATTTCTTGTTTTCTACCCTTTTAAATTAAAATAAACAAGTTTATATGAAAATTAAAATCTTTTAATTAAACGTTCAAGTCTTTTTGTTTTATTTATTTTTAAATATCTATTATGCATTTTATAGGTCAAAAATGTTAAAACAATGCTTATATACATGTTTGAAAAAAATTGAAAACAGAAACAAGAATCTTGCATATGTCATTCAATTTGAAATAAAAACATTAATCAAACGCTTATGTTTTTTCAAAAATTAAAAATGATAAACAATAGACAAGAAACATTAACGTTAATAAACAAAATATGCCCTAAAAAGCCCACAAGCTGCTAACAATCGCGGGATATTTCGAGTCGACAAAATTTCTCATCCTAATCAAAAGCACGAAATTAATTGTTGATAGAGGCCAACAATATAGAAATCATACAAAGACCCAAACTAACATATTCCATTATTTAGCAAAATTAAAGATAATAATACATGGAAGCAAATCAAACCTCAAGGCTCGGTGGGATCATCATAATTCTCAACAGCAAATAATCAAATTCTCACGCCAATAAGCTGTAAAGGATTTTTTTTAACCCAAAAAGGAAAAAAAAAACATACAAATGAATTTAAAATTTATATAAAAAATTGAATACACAAGGTGAAAAGAAAAAAAAATACATCACAAGCATATCAACCTGAGGCAAAGATGGCACACTGAGGACAAACCTACATCTCAAATAATATCATCCCAGCTTAAACCGTTCTAGAAGCTTTAGAACAAAAGATATATCATATGTAAAATGAGCAATGCAAACCTGGCTAAAACGCGCTCCAATTATCCGATCCTCTCTTCGGAGTTTGATTATCCAGGGACGCCCTAAATGGCCCCGTTGCTCCGAAAGGATCTGCTGCATCATCGAATGATGGGAATCCATGTCCCTGATCGAAGTCTTTGCTACTGCGCATTGAGTCGAATCGTGCCAATGAAGGGAATCCTTGATCAAAGTCCTTGCTGCTGCGCATCGAATCGAATCTTGACAATGATGAGGGTCCATGGCCCCGATTGAAGTCTCTACTGCTGTGAGGTGTGTCGGGTGGACCAAACGAGGAGAATCCATGACCCTGGTCAAAGTCTCTACTGCTGCGCATCGAGTCGAATCGTGAAAATGTGTTGTCCTGTGGAGGAAAAATGCCACTGTCGTGCATACCGAAAGAATCAAACCTCAAGAAGCTGTCGAAACTTGGTTCCGACCCCTCTCTGAAGTTATGTGGTGAATTGCCTGAGTTGAAGAGCGGGGTGCTAGGAACGGACTCATCAAAAGCAAATGTACTTCTCTTAGCCGGGAATGGATCTGTTCTGATAGGGTTTAAACCCAACTCCCCAGAATCGAAAAAGTAGCTGTCCCGGTTTAGATCATTGTCGGTCTACAAAAAGTAAATAGCAGAAATTAAATATATGCACCAGCAGATCTTACTAACAGCTTAATGAACAAGCGCCGCAACAAAACAAACATTGGCAACAAGCAGAACTCAGAATCACCAGACAAAAGAAAACCACCCAATTGAAATTTCAAATATATGGGCATCGAATATGTGTGTACATCGATATAGTTAACCCTTCAAAATAGATACAACAAGCAAATTTAACTTAAAGAAAATAAAGCCCGTTTGATAACCATTTTGTTTTTGGTTTCCAGTTTTTGAAAATTAAGCTTCCAACCCTTACTTTCACCAAAGTATTCATTTGTCTTATTATCAAGATTATTTTAAAGACAGTTTTAAAATCTATGCCAAATTTTGAAAACCAAAAGAAATAGTTCTCAAAAATATGTTTTTATTTATAAAATTTGAGTTTGAAATTCAAATGTGTTTGGAAGAAACGTGAAAAACAGCCTAAAGAAATGGTGAGAAAACATGCATAATTTTAAATACAAAAAACGAAAAACGAAAATGTTATCAAACAAGACCTAAAAAACAACAATTGAATAGGTTTTTTTAAAGGGCTGCACAATTGCAGCCATATCTGCACATATCCAGACATCCGTGTCCAACACACTCTGACCAAAACAGAATGTCTGTTTCCAAGTTCTCAAATATATGGAATGGGAAGCATCAAGAGGGAAGTATAAGGGAAAAAAAAGTTGATAGTATAAAGTGAGGAGCATTTGTTCTAATTCAGCTGTCTATTATAATGGACAATTTTCTGCTTACCTTAGTGGAACCTCCTGCATTAAAGCCCCAAACAGAGTCAACATCATCATTCGTATCAAACCTTCCCCAAGCAGGTTCGTCATAGCTCTTGTCACCAGAAAACACCGACCCCACACCTCCGTGATCACTGAAGAAATAGTTAAGTTACAATTATTTCTTGAGTCAACTTCAATGAGAAAAAAATCATGGTAATGACAGTAGTTATGAACTCCTTTTGCAACTCTGAATTCCTTTAGAATTACTCCCTTCTAGATTTAACAAATTCAAGAGTTTTCCGTAATTCCCACTCCCTCCCTTTTGCACTCCACATTTGTGAATTGATATTGTGTGTTAAAAATAAACAGGTAACGGTGGTAATAAATAAGAGATCAAGACCATGACCCATCAACCACAAAGAAATGGGTACACACAAAAAGACTATAGAGTTAAAAAAAAAAATAATAACAATAATAATAAATTTAAAAAAAAAGGCTCTAAGAGAAATACAGACTCCAGAACACCTAAATAAAATTTAAGTTGTTGGGCTAAGATAACTATTTTCAGTTCATTCTACTTTGACACTTTGTCAGTCACATAGCGCCCATTCTTTTCAATTCATCCTCTAACACTCCTCACACGTGCAGTTGGCCCAATATGTGACGAGTAAAGGGTAAGACATATATCAGAAGGATAAAGCTTCATAAAAACTATGAGGAAAAAGACTGTTGACAATACCTATGAGCGTCCTTATCACGGGGTGAAGCATCAAAACCAGCAGCCTTTCCAAAATTGGAATCCATAGACTCCTTGGGACTTCCAATAGCACTACTTGCAAAGGGGCTGTTAGGAGCACTTTTGGCTGATTCACCTTCACTTTTATTATCATGTGTGGAGCCATTTTCAACAGCTGTTTCATCCATACTAGGAGGTTTCTCTCCCTTGGTATCAGGATCTGGTTCAGAACCTCCTTCCTTGGTACCTTCCTTGGTATCAGCGTCTGGTGCAGGTGCAACTTTTTGGCTGTCAACGGCTGCACCTTTTTCTTTTTGCACTGACTTAGATTTCTGCTTCGGAGGTGCTATGACATTTTGCACATCAAGAGTGAGCTCCTTGACAACAGTGAAACCTGAAAAGAAATTACGAAAGATTAAGCAATCGGCAGTCTGCAAAAATAAGGAAAAGAAAGAAGGTATAAAATCCAGTAAATGCCTAATATAAATTCCTCTAGCATACCTTCATCTTCAAATTTATCCCAATCTTCATCCCAGTCAGCAGCTCCCACTTGAATGCCAGGTTGCCAACCTTTATTTGAAACATTGAGGGGGGAAGTGATCAACAAAAAAGATAACGAACAAGATTCTCAAGAGCAATGAAAAAGAACACAGAGGGAGAGAGAATGGGGGAGAGGTCACCCCTTCATAATATACCAAAAAAAAAAAAGAATGATCTATGTGCAAGGAATTGTAAGATGATAAAAACCATCAAATTGGGAGAGAGGGGGGAGGTTATTTTGTACTCATGAACTATACCAACAAAAATAAGACTTCCATTTATTATTATTATTATTATTATTTATAACCGGGAATTGGAGCTTTGATCCCCTATACCCAGAGGCACCCGCGCCTACCCAAGCCCAGACCCGGGAGATATCAAGGATTTTTGATATTAAGCTCACCGAAAATTCAAACTTGAGATCTCTAAGCCATTATGACCAAGAGACTCTAAGCCTTTGCCAACTTGGGGGCAAAAAGACTTCCATTTATTTGAAATTAGCAAAATAAATTAAAAATATAGATAGAGATACAACCATGATCTTAGAGCATTAAACCTCACACACCTTCCAAGATATCAATTTTAGAATTTCATCCAGCGTGACTTGAAATCTTAAATTATGAATTGTTATTGACAAAATCAAAAAATTAAAAAAGAGTGGAGCTTAAAAGCTTAAGTTTGTTAGAAAGGAACGAATTAATAAATATTAAGTGTTTGTACGTTTTAAAATTGATGTCCTTTAATCTTTAATAATCAGGTAATTGATTCGTTAATATTTCTTGTAGACAAACTATTCTTATTTTAATTTTTTCTCCAATATTCTTCTTGATACAGTAAGAAGAATGAAAAGATAAATAAATTGTACCTATTTATGCCCCAAGTTAAAAATAATAATAAATAAACAGAGATGCAAACTACAATATTCAATCATTGAAAGGAAAAAAAAAACTTTTCACACTATTAAATTAACAACGGTGATGTGGAAGTAGCAAACAATAAGATTTATGAATGCCAATGAACAGGATGATGAGTGGGGTTTCTTTACACACTGATAAAAAATATTATTGGATGAAATTAACTAAATGCAACTTCAATAAACACTTCAACAATTTAATAGTTGAAAAGAAAAAAGGATAATGATAATTGATGGATGAATGACCTTTTCTCCCACATAAATATGCAATTAATGTTATATTGTCAGAGAAATGATTAGAATTGTTGGAAGTGTTGAGTACCTAATTTATTCATAACTTCTCTATTAAGAAAAGAAAGAAAGAAAGAAAAGGTAAGCCTATATTTTTCATGACTAAATTCCTTATTCGTTAATATTATAGCCAAAACTGAACTTTTATAAAATTTACATTCACTAACTTTTTAAAGTTAAGATATCAAATAAGATTAAAAGGAAATACATGACAGTCCCGATACTTTGTCACTAATGACGGACTAGTATTCGAAAATGGAAGGTAAAATGATCCTTTTGTTTGAATGCAAATCATTCATAACCAAGATATCTTGAGTTAATTTCATGTCGACACAAATATTGACTGCTAGAAAGGGAACTATAATAATATCCAGACAACTGAGGTTTGGCAGAGGACTAAATAATTAATGCTCAAGAAACTTACCAAAAGGAAGTTCTGTCAGAGTTATTGGTTTTGCACGCAAGCCATAACTCTTGCAGCGTTCATTGAGACCTTTCACTAACTCCTCAATATCTGACTGGATACGGTCAGCACGAGCCTGAAATTTTTAATATAGAAATGACCTTAGATGAGTTCCTACAAGGCTTCCATTCCATTGGCCAGAAAACTAAAATTTACCTGCAGAACACCATCTGCACCACCATCTTGTCCCATCTTCACAATCGCCTGATACACCTCCATCTTCTTCTCCTAAACCAAAGTAAATAACAGCATCCAATATAGTTAGTTTCTGAATGCATGGCATAACTGAAACCGGTACTTACTGTATGATTTACAAATAGTGATGAAAACCTGTATATCACGGAATGTAGATTCTTCAACAGTTAATCTGGAGGCTACATCACCAGATTGTTTATACTTCTCTTCATATTTCTTAGCAAGGGAATCTACCTGAAATAATCAAACCCTTCATTGAGCTCATTGTAATAATTTAAGTTAAACAAGGATAAACTACATTATTCCATCAAACAGATACCTCACGTTTATCTGAAGAAACTCTTTCAGATATTTCATTCAGACGATTGTCACATCTGCTCTTGTACAAAACCTTATTGAGAGAAGAAAAAAAATCAGGGAATAGCAGCAGGTAATCAACCGTTAGATAACTGCAACACGTGTCATATACAACTAACAAGTACACAACTGTACGACATATTAAGCACTGGAAAGCTGAACTAAAAAAGAAGAGGATGGAGAGGTCTCCCATCACCAAGATGAAAAGCAGTATCATGACTCATGATTTTAAAAATGCTTTCAATGGTAACGATATAATACCTAAACTGTCTATAAAGAAAAAGTGTCTTAACGGATAATGTAATCCATCTTCGGTGAATATATACAGTGCAAAAGCCGTAGAGCAAAACACAAAATTTAGCTCTTATAAAAACATAAACCTCTCGCTCAAGCATGTGATAGGTGTTCAGTTTATCAATGCGTGCTCAAATTAAGGTTCATCAACTCAACCCTACTGTACATGAACAAAGCTGAAATTATAAAAACATTTCTAGACTTTTATTGGTTTTTATGAGAAACAAATGGAAGGAACAAGTCAAGTAATATCCAACAAAAAGGATAATTTCTGTTGTCGAGTATTGGTGGAGGAATGAATATGACAACAACTAAACTATCATCTTTCCAATACTATTTGGACAACTCCACGACAGTCCACATATAAGCACAACAACCACAAATAGCACAGGGCTTCAAGAAAAAGGAGAATACATAAAAATAATACTTTAGTACTTACAAGCTCCTGCATTTTAGTACGAAAATACTCAATTTTCTGTCTAGAGTCCAAAATTTCTTTCTCCAATTCTTCAACCTTCATTGAACAAAACAAGATGTGTCAAAGCATGAGTGACAGACATGTCACAAAATCAGTAAAAAGTATTTCATATTAGAGCAATTAATATTATGGCTTAGTTTATATCAACATGAAACTGTTAACCCCTATGATAGATATTTAGGGGACTTCAAACATCAATCAAAACTCCTGACTACACATGAAAAGAAGAAAATAAAATAAAATAAAAAGAACGTCTATGTGTAAAAGGGGCATTTTATTTGTCATTCCATGATAACTCGGTTGATATCTAACCAAGATCATTACTATAGTCTATAACAGAGGATAAAACCAAACTAAGGCATTAAAAAAGAAGTAAAAGAGGTGCCTTTTTCTCAGCATCTGCTGCTTCTTGGAACTTTGAATTGAGAGACTTCTGCTCCTCTGTACTAAGTTGACTAACAAGATTTTTCTCCAGCACAGGAACCTTTGATTTAGGTTTATTGGTATGTGGCTCATCCTCAAACTGGGAAACAGCAGCAGGTTTAGGCGGTTGTACTCCAGCTGTAGGAGCTCCATGCCGATTACCAGACCCAGGAATCCCTTGGTGCTGTTGGTAACCTTTTTTTAGTAAAGAAAAAAGTTAGTATTGAGGTAAATTTCTTCCCACCGAGAGGAGTCCAACTAATTGCAAAAGGTCATGAAGTGACTCATCAGAAGGGATTACCAGCTGTCGGTCTCCAGGCTGCATTGCTAAAGTTAGATGCAGCTGGAGTCACAGGATGACCATTGCTGGAAAAATCAAACATGATGTTGCTAGGAAGCATAGCAGGAAGAATGTGCCCTTCCCTATGCCGCTCCAACAAATAGAGTGCAATACAGAACTCCCTGACAGAAAGCATGCTATCATTATCTTGATCGGATAAGTCCCACACTTGCTTTAAAACCTCTGACAGATGTCAACAATAATATACTCGTGAGAATATCATTATTAACCTAAAACCTTGAAAAAAAATTTAATGTAGATTTATCAAACAAAGAAACAACCATTCAAATGAGAGAGAGAAAAGATTCTAATCTGACCATCAATGAAACAATTCTAAATTTTACAACTTAAGAAAAATAAAGGTTTGGCGCAGTACTTTGAAGACAGGCTACATGCCTAAGATCAGGAAGATAAATGCAGCTAAAACTTGAATTGCAAACATAAACAACCATGGCACCAAGCAAGTTTTTTATCATTGAACTAATTGCTACAAATTTTAAATAAAATTTAGTCTCTATCTCTGAAACTCGATGCGAAATAAATCCATTGAAAAGAAAAATACCCCCTGCCCCCTCCCCCCATACAAATTTTTTTTGTACATTTCATCTTATAAATAAAATTGCTTCTTAACCATAGAAGAAATAAGTAACGAGTGTCCTCCATGAGAAGTTACAGAGCATTCAACAACAAAATAAAAGGCCAAAAAGCAGTATTCATGTTTAGAGAGAATGTTGTATCTGATTATATGGGTGTGTATGCAAGCAGAGTTGAGTGGTAAGCACCATTAGAAACTTAAAAAATAATTCATGAATATCACACAAAGTAATCCACACATAGAACCTAAATTCCACTTTGTGTTCGAGTGTGCTGAGAAGTTACTGGACAGTCTAAACTTGTTGCATACCAGACTCAAGCAAAATAAGAATCGGGAATGATGATAAATAAGAAAGGAAAAAGAAGTCAGCAATCTTGCAAAACATAAAATGAAAAGCTAAAAACCCTCCTTTAAATGGATTAATACCTCTTGGCAGTCTCCAACTCAAGAACAAGTTCCGTGCTTCTTCACCGGTAATTTTTCCATCTCTATCTTTATCTACCTCAACAAAAACTTTGGTATACTTCTGCACATCAGTCTGTGTCATTCTAGGCCAAGGCCGCTGAGACTGACCAGAAACAGAGTTATGAGCTCCTGTTGATAATCCAGATGAAGCAGGTTGCACTATGCCCTGTTGATTGGGCTTCCCAACTGGCTGGTTCCGTAGGGACTGATTACCAAGGGGTGGTTTCATAAATGAATTTTGCAAAGAATCAAGGGAACTTGCTCTAGCTATTGGTTGTGCAACAGAAGATACAGGAGCAGTGACTGATGTGGAAGTTTTATTGCTAGCAGACAATTTATCTGAGGTAACTGGGGTTGCAGAGAAGATATCTCCTCCAAAATATGGTCCAGAAGCAGTCCCATTTCCAGAAATACCTTGCACTTTACTCTCCGCAGGTGATGTTGTAGACGACTTTGCTCCGGGGGCAGACTGAGGCCTTGGGGGTAGAGAAGTTGTTAATCCTGCACTTGATTGCCCAAATGCACCGACCTGTGTCCCAGCAGGACTGACTCCTCTGTTAGGAGGTTGTGAGGATGTTCCCTGAACTCCACCCGCACCGTCGCTTGCCCAATCAGTTGAGATGCTTGAATTCGTAGGAGGAGGCCCCGATGCAGTGCCTGCTCCTGGAAATCCCTGTGCTGGACGGAAAGCAGAATTTGATGTTGCCAACGGAGGCCTTACTGATTGACCCTCTCTAGAAGGAACCGGCGGAAGGTTCGCATTGACATTTCGAGGAACCTGAGATCCCAACCCAGTGCTTTGGGAGGGCGTTGGAGCAACAATGCCACTCTGAGGTGTAGGTGGTAGTGCTGCAGTAGAATTGAACTGAGATGCAGGTTGGATATTGACATTAATTTGTGGTGCTGGTATTTTAGCTGCAGCTGGGCTATACAACGCTGCTTTCACAATCTCAGGAGTTAATTCCCTCTTACTCTGTGCTACAGTTACCAGCCTAAGGGCATTATAAAACTCCGCTCGACCAAGGAAACCAATCTGTCTCGGGTCCGCAAGCGCCCAAATCTGCACATAGATCGACAAAACAGTAACAAAAAGAACAAGAACTGAAGTCGAATTAGCAAAATACAATAGTAGAACTTCTCAAAGTTTCTCGAACTAACGAAACCTATAGGTATCAAAATTCCAATTCCAGCCTCTAAAAGAAGAAAACCCAACAGGTCTGATTTAAATCTCAGTTAAGCTAAACCCAAGTAAACATCGATTTTTCCAAAACGCCACAAAAAAAAACAAGAAAGCTAAGGAAGGAGTGACGGAGTTACCTGAGCAAGGACCTGTTTGGCCAATCCTGAGCCTTGAAAGAAGGCAACCGCTTCAGCACCACTAATTCGACCATCACGGTCCAAATCGGCACGTCGAAAGTAGGCATCGAAGAGATCCACGTTCGGCGCTTGGTTCTGCGCCGATGCCATTGCCGAATTCAAAAGCTGCAACTCTTGGATCGGAGCAACAAGCCGACGGATTCACGGCGCACGCGCATGAGAGAACCAAAAACAGTTGGATTCAAACAGATCAAAACCACATGGATTAATCACAAATCGAAAAGCCCTAACGAAACAAAATCGAGTGATTGGAACGCCTCTATCCACCAATTCAGAAAAATCATATAAAAAAATTTGGGATACACTGATGAAGGAGCAGGTTGAGAGAGAGAGGGAAGGGAAGAGGTTTCTGTTGCTGGAAAAATAAAAAACAAAAACAAAAACAAAAATAAAATAAAATTTGAGAATCGAACGATTTTAATTTTCATTTCTCCGTTTCAGAAGTGATCCGATTTTGTTGACGTTATTTACAAAACTGCCCTTTCACTTTTCCCCTACAATTTTTATTTCCGCTAAAAATATATAACATTACCATTTTTATTCTTTTAATATAATATTAAAAATTTAGGTTTTGTATAGTTATACACAAATTTAAAAGTTTAAAAATACCTATTTGATACTTTTTAAATTCTTAGTTTAGCTCAACGAAAATGTGAGTTCGAATTTCTCCACTCTTTACTTATTGTACCTAAAAAAAATTTGTTACCTGTTACGTGCAGCCATCAAAATGCATAAATTTATTTAACATATTTTTATTTCAAAAAAATAAAATATATAACATTTTTTTAAGTTAATTAACCTACTGGAAATAATCTTAAATTTTCAAGCATTAAACTTGCCATTTGACTTTCAAAACTTAAAATTATGAAAATTCTTTATATTTATGTTTCAATTATTTGATTTTTGTTAAAATGTAATATCTCTCAAGATGTAGTTCAAACGGTGAAGAAAATTTGCCAACTCAACAATAAATATAAATAGATATATTTTTTCTCAAAGTTTAAATCTTCATAATTTTTATATATATGTCATTGTCAATCGAGTTATGTTCACTCTTCGCAATGCTAACAAATATGACAAATAAAATTTTTATTACTTATCACATTCGAAGAACTCTAAATTAATAATTTATAAGATTTGCTAAAAAATAAATAATATATAAAAGCGATGATTTGGACCTGCAACTTTGGAAAGAGTTTTACGATTATTTTATTCCTTGTCAAATTTTAAATTCCCATGATATATCGTTAACAATTATTTATGAATAGTAAATTAACTTTTTTTAATAGAACACGTGGGGTCGTATTTCGAATTCGTGACCTATTAATCAGAGATATATATCAATTATGTTAAACTATACTCGCTAATAGTAAATTAATTGATTGATTATTAACTGCGAGAAATACAGATGATGAACTACGAATCTAAAATTTGTGATACATTTGCTAATTTTCTAAAGTATAAAATTTTATTTCTCTGGTTTTTAACATTATTTACTGCTTTCATTTATTTATACTCCTTGAATTAATTTTGTTATTTATCCATCTCTCTTTCCACGTTAATTTCTAGAATGATATCACCTAGATTTTTTCCCCTTTCATGTTAGAGATTAGAGAGATTCTCATTTGAGTATAATGACAAAATTTCCCATCCTTTTCAATTAAGCAAATTTTAGCATAAAGTTGATGTTAAAGAGTTTTTTTTTTTAATAGCCATTTAGCTTGAACAATTATTAAGTTGTTTATATATATTATATTTATTATTATTATTAAATTATTTTGCAACACAAGAATTCAGAATTTTGTATTAATAAATATGTGACGATTTTTTTAAGTGAGAGATTGATCATCGATTGCTAAGAGTCTTTGTAAACTAGTATTAGATCCCTATTTAATGTAACCTCCTCATACGACGGTTTAAAGGCAGTCTCATCGATATTTGTTATCATTTCTAAAGTAGAGTCAGACCTTAGAAGCCACATAATCTGTAATCAAGGAATTTGTTGTATGCAGTGAAATGAAATTTGCAATTGATTATGTGTCAAAGTGATAATAAGAAAGAAAAGAAATTCTCGAAAAAATATAAATAACACTTACTAATTATCTTGAGGGTTTAATTCATTTTCACAGTAGTCTCGACTAATGTGAAAGTTGTATACAATAGAGGAATCAATCCCCGCCAAACTGAGTATGATTCATGGTTGTATTTTCTTTACAAATTCAACTTATACTTTTAAGGCTAATGCTTCAGCAAATTTAACCTCGCCTATCATTTGATAAGTTCATTCACTCGTTTTCATGATTGTTCTAGTGGAATCTTGAATAACTATTTCTAATTAAGCATCAGAGTTTATTTTTTAGGTATCTTGTTATGGGCATTTCATTCGATGTCGTGATTGTTTATGCTCTATTGTTGGGAATATTTGTGGTTGCGAATTTGTTACGATGGTCGTGAGTTTTGTTGCTCTCCTTCCCCTCCATTTTTCATCTTTTGAGCTTCTTCAAACTCCTTTGCAAAGAAAATAACATCTTCAATATTTTTCCTTTGCCGATTGAAAATGTTGTTGTTCGTCAGTTGCCACACGAAAATATCCTTCTCTTTCCTCCAAAGTCATTTAGGCCCATTTTCGGCCCACTTATAATTGGACAGGAACAAGCCACCTTCATTGATGGGCCCTCGTTCATGCCCAAAAACCCTAGCTTTATAGAAACATACTCGAGCGGTGGATTCGATACGTGGCGCTGTTTAATTGGATTGAAATATAATATAGTTTTAGTTTTAAAGTTTCACACTTTTACATCGTAACCCTTGTGTTCTCTAAACAAATAACGTATATATTGAAAATCAAAGAAAAAATATACTTTTTTGGTCTCTGACATTTGGAGTAAGTATTTATTTAATTTTTAAAATTTTAAAAATTTGGAGTAACTGTACATTTGATCTCTAAAGTTTTCTAGATGGTCATGCAATTTATTTGACCATTAGTTAACCTTTAGTTGACTGTTAAAAGGGGTTTCACCGTTTGAGTTTTCTATCTTTTCCTCTTCTCTTCCTCTCTCCTTCCTCATCTCTCCCATCTCCGGTGAACATTGTCGTGTCGTCGCCGCCGACCATTTATTTTCTCTCACCACCTGCCAACTGTTTCTTTCCTTGCCCACCGGTCGCCTTTGCCCTTTTTCTATTGCCCACCGGACAGAGGGATGGAATAAAGAAGATGAAATGCCCAATCAATGGGGTAAAGCAGTAAAAATGGTTMAACATTAAAAACCGTTGACATCCACTTCAAATTTGCAGGAGTTCCATCACCCAGAAAAATAAAAAAATAAAAACTCCACAATACCCCTTAAATTAAACTAAAATTGCATTGTTTGGAAATTTTAATATGCAAGCGAGCAGGGAGGGGAAGAAGAAGAAAAACAGAGGTGTTATTCTTTTGTTCCAGTGTGACGGTGATAGTAAAGCAGCACAGTAGGCGATGCGGGAGAGAAATAGCCGGCGGGGACAGCGCTCCTCGAAGATGGGGGAGAAGGGGAAGGAGAAAGGAAGAGAAGAGATAGAAGAGAAGAGATAGAAGAGAGAGAATGTGAGAAAACTTAAATGCCAAACTCCTTAACGGTCAACTAATGGTCAAACGAGTTCAAGGACCATTTATAATCATTTTTCAAATATGAAAGACTAAAAGTGTTCACTTTAAAATTTTAGGGATCAAATAGACACCTACGACTAAAAAGTTTTATTTTGAAACTTGAGGGACTAAATAGACACTCACCCCAAACCTAAGTGACCAAAAGTTTATTTTTCCTTAGATTAAAATACTACTTTAGTCCATGTGTAGTTTTAAAAGAGGTCATTTTAGTCCTCACCGTTAAACTATCGTTAATGGACTAACAGATTTATGACGTGACATTTTAAATTAGTGAAATAAGTGCATACGTGTCTTCCACATGCCAAATAAATTGTGTCAATTATGTTATATCAAATCTCCCTATTTTAGGTTAAAAGTTGAATCAGGTCGATTCAAATCTTCCTCCTCCCTACTACGGGCAACCCCTTTCATTTTGTATTCCGTTTACAATGAATTATGTCGCAACGTCATCGCGACGCAGAGCGGCCGACGTCATCCCCTGACGGTCTCTTTCGAGATTAGGGTTTGGAATCGCCACCAATCATCTACAAGGTGTGATTGGTCACCTATTTAAAAAACTTTGATCTACGAAAACAGAATTTTGGTTTGGGAGTCGGTTGAGCAGAGGAAAGGTGGTAGCACCCTACGACACCCATTCGAAAACGGTACCATATTTTGTCGAAAACTATCCTATTATATTTGGTCCAAAAAGAAAAATACTTTTGTGTTTGATTTTAAATGTCCCAAATTTATTGACAAGCATGAGTGGCCCAAAGACCATTAGAAAAACAAATTATCACCTTTGAACTTGTAACATAGGTGTCATTACCCAATGCTTTTGCCACTATGTCATACAATAAGATACATTATTAAGGGTCTTTTCAAACAACAAATTTTATCTTCGAAATTTGTATTAAAAAAAATAAAAAAATATTAACGAAAATAAAAAAGAAAACTTTTTATTTTAGGGATTTGAAATTGGTTTTAAAAACAAGAATCTCCTATTTAAAATCAAATTTTTTTTTAAAAAAAAGAAATCTTATTCACTTCTTCCAAAATTTAAATAACAAATCTTTACTTACTTTTTAAAAATATTATTTAAAATGTAAAACAAAATCTTAAAAAAAATCATACTGGAAAGAAAGAAAATAAATCTTACTATTTTAAATAAAATAAATTTTCAAAATCTTTTATTTTCTTTTCCTTTTATTATTTTCTTTCCTTTTAAAAAACTGTGTTCTTTTTAATAAAAAGACTTTATTAAAAAAAGAACTCTCTTTCCAAAACAACATTTTTCTTATTATTATTATTTAATAAAAAAAATACTTGCATTCCCCATAATATAGTTTTGAAAAAACATTTTCTCTTCTTCTCTTAAAGAAATATTATGTTTAAAGCTAAAAGTTTCCCTTTTTTCTATTTCCGAACTCACCTTCTCACTTAGGTAGTTTTAAACAGAGGTTCCCGGAATGTTGCGGGTCGATGAGGTGTATATCCGAACGGGTTCGTCGGAATTAATTTGATCGTGGTCAGAGGTCGCTGGTGTAGGTGAAGAAGAAGAGAAGATGATGGTAAAAAAAAAAATGAAGGAAGTGAATGATT